ACCAAGTGGTTGAAGATGTCAGCAACTGCGACTTCATAGGTTTTAAAGGGTAAGTGTTGCTCTAACAGATAGTGAAAGAATCGGGTCGATTTGAGCAGTGGTCGCTGAGAACGAGAATTTTGAAAAATTAGGCGATTTTAGGCTAATTTTTGACTGCTGACATTTGAACTCCTAAGGCCCGTATGCACGTACATCCCCGCGGGGAGGGGATGTGCGCTTAACCATTGAAATGATCCCCGCTGGGGATCCCCTCCCCTCCCCGCGCGAACCCCCGTATGCACAAAGACAATATCGGACAAGGGATCCCCTGTGGGGAGGGGAAGTGAACCCCCCTATGCACAAGAGGGGATCAAGCGGGGAAACCACCTTGCTTTCAAATTTTCTATAAAAAACTCTTTCTTATTTCATATTTTGACTGCAACTCATCTTCATCTCATCACTTTCAATAATTTAGGGTTGCGGAATGCGCGTATGCAGTGACTGCGCTCGGGGCACTAAAAATGATTTTTTCTACTCCCATTATGTTCCTGCTTTCTTGGATGCTGCCCACTTTCGCTCATGCTGCCCCATTTCAGCGTAAAAATGTTGAACTATAGAAGTTGATGTGTCTCTGCAAGGGAATGGGTAGAAGACATTATGCTGCCGAAAGGGGGGGGGGGGTGCCGCGCGGACGCTCAAAGCAGTATTTTAACACATAACAGAAGCGGCAAATTGTGCCAGTTCTCCATAAACGCTGTAGCTATCAGCAGCATATCGTCCTTCATCCCAGGGGAATGATCCCCAGCGGCCATCCCTGCTATGCACAAGGGGAACGCTGGGGAGGGGATCACTCCCCAGGGGATTTCTACTCAGAAATAGGCAAATGTGCTACTTTCTAGATTTTTTCGAGGCAGCTTATGTTAAAATAACAAGATAATGGCAACATGTCATGAAATATGAAAGTTACAAAGTGTTTACTCAGCCTATATAGTTAAAACTATCATGTTATATGAAAAATGCGCAAATTTTCTGAATGATCAAGAACTCCTACAAATAATCGAAATTGGCTGCTATTATTGCTCGGATTCCTTCTCAAGAGGCGAATATAGAAAAGAAAGACAAATTGCAAGCCACAAGTTGCTGAGAGAAGAACCCGGCTTTCAAAGAAAATCCTCCGTCAAAATGAACGAAATGCTTGGTAATGACTGAGCAGAACCAGAATATCCGCGTCTCTGGCATGATCTACACCATCGAACCCCTACTTCGTTGCAGGGGATGTCGATCCCCTCCCCCTCGTTATTGAGTTGAATTCGCGCATACGGGGTTCGAGTGGGGGAAGGGAAGGGATCCCCTCCCCCATTCGAACCCCGTATGCACTGGGGTTCGCTCGATCAATACCTCTGAAACCATTCACATCATCCCCGCTTAGGTGCAGGGGAGGGGATCGCTCCCCTGGGGATCCAGCTCCCCTCCCCTCCCCAGCGGGGATGTACGTGCATACGGGCCTAAAACTCTTGATTATGAAGATGTGTGATGTTGCGACTTCATAGGTTTTCTAGGGTAAGGTTTGCCCTACTAGAATATATCTTACCCGTACCAATTCATCAAAGCACCGCCGAGATCCAGGCTCTTGAAAAAGCAGGTAAAAAACAGCTTTTTGAACTTCAACAGCTCGTAACTTCTCCAGAACTGCATGAATCATGTTGCGACTTCATAGGTTAGATTCCTCTCATCAAGGGCTTTCAGACGATGTATGATATATGGGGGTTTGGGGCCTTCTTCGACGTATGACCGGGGGGGGAGACTTTTTAGGCCAAAGTCTCCCCCTCGCCCATTTTAATGTATTGGCTGGAGGCCGCCAGGGGAGACTTTGGCCTAAAAAGTCTCCCCCCCCCCGGGCATATGCCGTAAGAGGCGCGAAACTCCCACATATTATATATCATCTGAAAGCTCTTGATAAGAAGAATTCAACCTATGAAGTCGCAACATGATTCATGCAGTTCTGGAGAAGTTACGAGCTGTTGAAGTTCAAAAAGCTGTTTTTTACCTGCTTTTTCAAGAGCCTGGATCTCGGCGGTGCTTTGATGAATTGGTACGGGTAAGATATATTCTAGTAGGGCAAACCTTACCCTAGAAAACCTATGAAGTCGCAACATCACACATCTTCACAATCAAGAGTTTTAGGAGTTCAAATGTCAGCAGTCAAAAATTAGCCTAAAATCGCCTAGTTTTTCAAAATTCTCGTTCTCAGCGACCACTGCTCAAATCGACCCGATTCTTTCACTATCTGTTAGAGCAACACTTACCCTTTAAAACCTATGAAGTCGCAGTTGCTGACATCTTCAACCACTTGGTTTATAACAGTGGCAATTTTGCATGATTTCTGGTTATTTTTTCATTCAAAATTCTGGTTCTCGGCAAATACTTCCTGGATCGACCTACTTTCTTCGCAGTACGACATAACTAAATTTACTTAATAAAATCTGTAGAGTGTTGTTGAGTTTCACTTCAAAATACACCATTCCATTGACACGTTTATTTCGAATATTTATGCCGCTGTGTTCATCGTATTTGTGGCCCTAAAGAGGGCCGTTGGGTTACAGTTATTGGCCCTAAAGAGGACCGTTGGGTTAGAGCTCTTCATTTATCCGAAGTCATCATGAAGCTTTGCTCTATCGGAGAAAGTGCTGAGGCGTATATGCGTCCATGTCGGTGATGGCCTCCAGGTGCCGCAGTGGGCGACGGCGGCTTCCTAAAAGTAAACTACATAGAATATGCTCTCAATACTTTCTTTTGCGTTCGTTTTGCTTAATTTCCTTTTTTTCAGTTTCAGCAAAAAAAAATCAAAACCCAAAAGTGAAGGCATTCGCGGCCGGCAACGACGTGAAAGGATAGCTCAGTTCTATGCTTCCCTCCCCCCCTCCCTACCCTCCCCCTCTATACCCCCGGTCAACGTTTTTGAGAGGTGAGTGTCCAGCATTACCACCCACTTTTGCTGGCCAGTGGTAGCCTGCGACCACCCCCCCCCCCCCCCTCCCCGGTCGACATTTTTGGGAGGTGAGTGTCCGGCACTACCACCTTCACTTTTGGCCGGCCAGTGGTAGCTGGAACCACCTTCACTTTTGGGGGGCCCGACTCCACCTATCGCACCTCTGGCTGCAATGGGGCTTTTGCTAAGAACTTGAACTGGCGTAGTTACGGAGACAGTCTAATTGGCAGTAGCAAAATATCCCAAAATTGCCCCATAAGTCTTGCACAACTTTTTGAAAATCATATGAACTGCTTGGATTCTAAAGGATTGTTGGCTAATATCTCTCAGAGAAAGTGAGATATTAATTTGCTAGCAGTACTGAACGATAAATATTGTTGATATCATGGTGATAGAAGTTGTTGAGGAAAAAGACGCAAACTCTATTTTTTTTGGTTTCCAAAAACACTAGATCGTCCGACAAGATTTTTGATTTTGTTTTCTATCCCACTCTTTATCATTCTCTATAGCTAATATGAGAAAAATTCGTGATGTGGAAGTCTCTACAACGTTAAGGTTTTGCATTTTTATTCGGCTTTAGACTTCATTACAATAAAAACCCTCTTATGCATTGTAACACGCATTTAAGCCAATTTTCAGATAAAGCATACATAGTGAACATCATTAACATTTTTAATAATCTGATAACATGGGTGAACGGAAGAGTCGGCACCTTTGTAAAAAAAAAGTAGCTTTTATGCTTTTTTGACTAGAAAAATTCGAAGAGCAAGGATTGCAAATTGCAAACAAAAAAATCGGGTAATTTGACTACGAAGAACGCTGAAAAAGAGGATGCGGCTTTAGGCCCCGGACAGACTTCACGCGATTTGATCGTCGCGACTCAATCGCCGACATTTCCATTCATTTTCATTTCACATTCAAAAATTTCGGGCTGGAAAAGTATCACAACCGAAATGCAAGTTGATCGGCATGGAATGATGTTGTAACGGTTGTCTCGTCGCGATTCAGTCGCGACGATCAAATCGCGTGAGGTCTGTCCGGGGCCTTAGCATGATGCGAAAAGAGGACCTCGCCAATTTGCTAGAAAAGGTCTGAAACCTAATATGACGACTTGGTTAAGAATCCTAAAACTCGAAGTATTTTGAAAGAAAATAGTTCAAGAGAGGACGGCATTTTTGAATGGGTATGTTTAACACGGACGACCTTGTGTATCCGCGCGTATGCACGCTCTGACTCCCGTTTAGCATTTTCGTGCATCCGCGCATATGCACGCTAGTTTTTTAGGTGCAAACGAAAAGTTTTAAGGTAACTTCTATGCAGTAATACTATTAGTGGCCTGATTGTCTTACAGAACACAGGGCATCGCGGCAGCTGTTCAGAAGTTTTGGCCGCAAAATTGGGTAATCAGTACGTTTTTGATGTTGTCATTACATGCTAAGTACGTTTTCTCAAGAAGATGAAAACTCTGTATAGCTGTTTTGGAATCAAACAAAGATGAATCAGGCAAAAAAATCTGGTTTTACAACGCTTTTCTCGAAGAGCGATTCCTTAGATATAGCCATTGCATGGATTATTGGAGGGAAAATCGATGCAAAAACCTTGATTTGTGTAAGTCCTGGTAAGGCTCTGTGATATACCTGTATGTCTGAACAAAGTTCGCATGTTTTATCAATAAGTGACAAAAAGACTCCCACATAATGTTTTCGTGCATCCGCGCGTATGCACGGGCCAAATGCGCGAAGGACGTTAGTGGGAGTTTCGCCCAAAATGGCGCGGTCGTCAACGTGTTAAGCTACGAAAACGAGTTTATCAAAATCGAAAAAATCTAATCAAATTGAGGTCAGTTTCTGTCTCTGGCGACAATATCACGCTAACTTGCACGTCCCTGCTTTTTCATTTGGTAAAGTTTCTACCGTATATTCCTTCCTTTTTTGTGCTTATGAATAACGGCAAAGCGATCCCGATAAACTGGACGGTGGATCTTTGCCCTTGTACGCAGTTGCACTATGCTTCGCTCTTGCGCTTCTGCGCAACCGTTTCACCGCATTTTTGAATTTCCGTTATTTTTTCGACCTAGTGCACTATTTTATAGTAGAATGTCTGACCAAAACAAGTACACGGCGGTCCCACAAGATAGCGATCGTGTAAAGTACAATGCCAGTGGTGCCGATGCAGCTCTTCCGGACGATGTGGATCGCGAACAAGCATCAAGGTACTTTTCTTTAACTTTGACGTTTCTCTTTGTTTCCAATCCACTGCTGTTTTTACTTCAATCTTTTCTAAATCACTACCAAAGTTTGTACATATCTGACGGGAAACACGCTATTCGAAGTGGACTTCCAGATGGGATGTACAACGTAATGAGAGCTGATTAAATCTGACCTCCTATATGCGGAACGTTTGTGGGTGAGGATAGGAGCGTTTATTGGAGGAAAAGAATAAAATATGCATTTAGGATGAAAGCTGATAATCATCCTACTACTAGCTCAAATAAAGCGAGCAAGTGTGAAGATTTTCATCTTGGCGTGTTTGTTAATAATGCTCTGATAATTATCACTGCTCCAGCAAAGCGCTAGGAAAAATATTACGATTATTTTTGTCCTACTTGCACATTCAATTTTTGCTCCAGTAAACGCTCATAACTGCTCATCTATAAACTGACGCAGATTAGGAAGGCAGTTTTGGCAGCTTTTTATGCACACCAGTATGATAACATCTAATATATAAATAATATAATATATGAAGAATCGTAAACGCAATTCAAAAATGTGCACATAGCGGGAAACTGCGGCGCGGTCTCGAAGCGAACGTTCTTGCCACCTTTAGATTGCTGGTTCACTAGTCCTATAAATAAAACCACTTCGACTAAACATACTTCACTTGTGGGTTGTACGAAGCTCGTCAAAGATCTGCCGGGAATGGCGTTTTCAACTTTTCGAGGGCAGTTTTTTCTTGGGGTGTACTAGAAAAGAAACAAAACATGTTTTCTGCTTTATATGTGAGTTTCATGTCATAGCGGCCATGCGGAGGTTTATGTTAGAAGCGGAAGGTGGAGCAAGGGGGAGGGGTGCGTTTTAGGAATATGTCTGCTGACAATCGTCAGAGCGTTGTGTATCTATCCATATGAGACAGAATCGATTCTCTCAAATTGCAAGCAAGCGGTACAGTGAGCAGAATTTTGTGGAAACAGCTAACCGATGTATTTTGATCTGACATACTCTAAGAAGCCAATGTTCTTGTAATCGGAAGATCAACTGCTTGCATTTTGTGATAAGAACTTCTGCGGTGTTCTGAGTGCTGCGCACAACTGATTTTGACGCTCTTGTCGTATCTCGAAGATTTTTTTTTTGTAGCAAGAAAGTAAACTATTCTTCTTGAAAGTCTGACGGTATTTTGTATGCTCACGGTTTTTTGAGCCTTTTTATTGTAATTGTTTCTTAAGCGTAACTACAAAAAGAGCGTGAATTGTAGGGTTTTCAGATCATCTCTAGAGAATTGTGAGGCACCCAGCGACAATTCCTATCTGCCTGGTAGTGGCCCGGGCTCTTTGGTAACGCGCGAAAGTCCTTACTATGAAAAGTTGATAGGTATGTGTGATCCTTTTCTGCGTATGTTAACAGATAATTCTCTGACTTTTTCAGGTATTGATGCAGACTCAGCTGAATACCCCGAAGATCTCATCATGATTGGAAGCAGTGTAGATGTGCACGATGTAGGTTGTGCTGCATTCTCCTTCATTACTTTCATCGCATTCTTCTCCCTTTTTTGCTCAAAGTTGAGATTAAAAAAAATTTTCTTGTACATCCAGAGATGATCATCTCTTTTTCTTTTCAATAAGGGCTCTAGCTTATTAGCAAACGATGGCGGAAGCAGGTTTCTCTACATTATTATGTGTTTTACATGCCTCTCAGTAGTCGTTTTCATTTGAAGATCTCAACTAATATTTGACAAGCGCGTTGAATAGGACATCATATCAACAAATAGTTTCGTGAAATTGGCCTCTAGTAAAGCACATGAGAAAACCAAGTAGGACTGATAATCGGTTGTTCGTTGTTTTTAACATTCAACCTTTTTGATTGATGTGTTTAACCACTCTTCCCTACCGAAGAGCCTCGGGAGTGGTTTCACATTTACATGTTACCCTGTATGGGGGTAGAGGCGAAACAGGCATTATGGTAAATTATTATTTAGTTGTTTGAAAACTCAAATATAAGAATATTGTTCCGAATTTTTTCCCATATGTGTTTAGAATTGAGAAGCGTCGCTCGTTTTTGTTCCGTAATCATTTCAAAGAAGCAGGAGTTACTTTTGACTTGTCTCTGACGCTTTTTTCTTTGACCGCAATCAAGTTTGACATTTTGTTATCATTTTATAGCATCATTTTGAAGTGATATCATATACCTGTCAATTGAGCATTAATCGCCTGCCGTGATTACAAGCTTGAGTCATTCGGCCGTGATGACATCATGTGCGATTTTTAGGATTCGAAACCGCTTCTCCTATCTGAAGAACACGCAGTCACTGAATCATGCACCGAAGCACCTCATGAGCTAACGTCCAAGAATTCATCACAGTCTGATAAAACCATTATGGTATGTGTCGGTTTTTTGAATGATTGTGTAAAAAGCAGTGATTTTCGTAGGTGATGCCTGAAGACATTGAGGCTGCCGGGTTAAGCTTGCAAAACCTGAGTAACTTAACTGAAGCACAATTCAACAACCTTGTGGCGATTGCTGAGAGGCGACAAAGAAATGCAGAATCAAGCTTGGCGGCTGATAGTCAGTATGGTACGTTTTTGACGGTTTTATACCTGTTTTCAATTCTCGAAATTCATCATACAGATGACCAGATAGCTGGAAGTTCTTCAAGCACCGATTCATTGACAATGGTAATCACGGAGGAGGGCAGCCTCAAGCTTACTGATGCAAGCGGACAGATGATTGTGGTATGTCGTACCTAATTTGCTTTTGTTTCTTCTTTTACACAACTATTGCCATCAAACTGATGAATTTTGCTAAGAATATTGTTATTCTGCGGGTAGTTCGCACGTTTTTCAAATGATCACCCCTTAGCAGGGATGGTGAGCTTCCAGCTAAATCCAAAGTAAAGGACTCTTTATCATAGGGATCAGGGGTGTTTTGCCATCTATACACCATCATCGCGTTATCCTTTATCACGAGCGTACACTAGCCTTACTATGATTTGCTTGGCGCCTGATCGTACAAGTTATTTTCAGTTCGATCGTACGCAATTGGCTGCATTACGAATTGATGTCAACAATCTCACGGATGAAAGCATCCAGCAAATTGTTCAGATAGCAATGCCTGCCATCTGCATGTGGGTTTTGAGCAAGAACTTTTTTGAAAGCCAAATCATAGCTAATTGAAGTATTTAGTGGAGGCAAACCACTAGAACCTTCCAAGTCCAGCTCACTCCGTTCATGTCGTTCTGATTCTACGGTATGTTTCAAGTAATTTGCTAGCAATTCTTCTTTCACGGTTTACAGAGCTTGGATGAGGGTAGCGTTACTTACAAGTGCGACAGAGATGTTTCGCAGTCCTTACCACAACAACTGAACGAACATCCTCCTGATCAAGTCCCTCCACGAAATGCTTTTATTCGCTATATCAAAAATGGAAGGTTGAAGGTATGTAACCTTTCTTTCTGTCTTTTGTTTTTCAAGATAAAAACTTGAGGGTTTTATTCAACCACGAGAATCATTTGCGAATTAGAATGCTTTTTGTTGGAATTGTGTTTGAATCTCACCTTTCTGCTGTTTTATCTATCTGGTACATTCGTATTACAAACTCTGTAATGCTTTAGAATCTGCAGTTGTTGAAAAACCTTGTGTAATCTTATCATTTATGGAGCTCTCTATCGTTTTTTTTGTACACGCAATCAATTCATCACCCATACAGTTGCCTAAACTATAAAATTCAAGGGAAAGGGTAATCAAGTTATCAGGCTTTTCCTGTGAAGTTTTGTGAGATGGGCGAATCTATCTGTCTACTCAAAGGCTCATTTTAGGTGCAATACGAAGACGGTCGATTCGAGTGGGTTGGAGAAGATAATCCGAATATCTGCGAAACAAAACCGGTTCAACTCTCCGATCACTCGAGGTAGTACGCTATCACTTAGTAGGCTGTTACGATATAGTTTTTTTGTCACAGCTATCACGCTGGTAATCCTTCCGATCACGGTGAATCTTCTTTAACGCGATCATCCCGTCCAAAAAGAACATGCTCGAATGAATCGCCATTTGATGGAGAACCAACCGTGAAAAGGCGTGGCCTCGTACCAGCTCCGAACTTTTGCTGCCCGGTTTGCGATCGAAAGGTTACTTGTAAAAAACGTTTTCTTCTATTTTCGACTGCACAGTGCAAAGTAAAGAATGTTGTTTAGGTGTATCAAAAGGAGCCGTCCTACATTGTGATCCGGTTACCAGCGTGTGACGATTGTACGAGGGGAAAGATGATAGTTCTTGACGAGCGAACAAAAAGGCTATGTTTGCCTTCAAATAGGAAGTAGCGTTGCGATACTAGTGTTAATTAAGTTTGCATTATTACTTCGCAGCAGAAGTTACTTTCGGCATACGAAGCTTTTCCAATAGGCGTAATAATCTCATTTTTATGTACCTAAGTTTGTTGCATGTTTGTACTGATTGTCATGGGTGTGGCGTTGTGATATAAAAAATCTGCATCTTATAAATTCATTCATGTTTGCACACGGTGTTGGACCATCTCATACACTTATCGAAAGTTTTTGATTTGCATGTTTCAAGTTTTTGGCTGAAATGACTTTCAAGTTGTCATCATTGCTGTGATTGATCATTTGGCCAACTCAAAAGTTCCTCGAGGAGAAAAAAGTTGGCACTTTCATTGGAAGAGATAAGTGCTCTAGTTTAGAGGTTTTTGCTGGTTTTCGTCTTTTTTCATCTCCTTTACTATCAGTGTGTTGACACATTACGGATGGAATTTGAGAATTATTGACCAAATCGTTTTTACAATACCTTTCGTTTTGGATCAGGATTGGTTTGAACCAGGTATAAAGTAGAAGGAAAAATTATCTCAAACATTGCGCATTTTTGCCGTGATTTGTTGTAGTAACCTTGCCCCAGCGCAAATGCGATGATTCGAATTTTCGGAGTGTTTGAAGTTACCGCGATCTCTTTTTTGTTTCGCAAAAGTCGTCACTACTGGTCAACGATATGCGCGTCACTGTTTTCTTTGAACGAAAAGTGCGTTACACGAAAGAGGTTTACACAGTCGAGCAGCTGGTTGCCGAAATTTATTCTAATGATATCAAATTGAATGAAGCCATAAACATCTCAAAGTAAAGCAGAGCGTTGTGCAGCAGCAGTAGCAAAGTTTTGGCGAAGCTGATTTGGATGAAGTTGGTGTCCTACTAACGATTTAGACTGGAACATCGAGTGTGTTGTATTCGGCCAAACCGTCCCTTGCAAATCACTGTATGTCTCTATCATGTTCGAGCTTGTTTTTTTTCAATTCTTTTCCCGTCTTCTGGTTGTATCTATAGCGATTTGAGCTTTTTACCGACCATTTTCAGATTCTTCTGACTTCAGTTTTGACTTTATTTTCCAAACGAATCCCCAATTTTTTTTTGTTTTTATGATCGCTCAATGTCTATTCTTACCCCTACCCACTTCGTTACACCTTTTTCTTTCCAGATTTTTACCGCTATTACTTGAGACGAATAGCACAACTCTTTGACTTGCTCTTTTGATTGCTGTAGAAGCGTGAGTTCATTCTACGCCTCTGGACAGAAAGTGTTTTTGCATTGTGTGGACTTTGCTGTGGCCACACACCCGGTTGCTTCATTTGTTTACTCTTCGCCGTCCATTCCTTGCTGACAAGCGCTACAGAGCTCTATGTGTCGGAAACGGCCTCCATTTTTCCCCACCTTCCATCTGGAAAAATCGTATTTTTAGGGATGAAGATTGCATGGTTCTCTTTATCATCACAGATTTTTGTTTCTGGCGTGTTTTGGTGACATATAATTTTATTCCTTCCCGTCTTGGTCAGTCACTACTATTACTGCCTAAATGAGTACGAACACAGTCCATTATTGGGTTATGGCTACAGCTCCAGCCTTTGTTGACACCACCCGTAAGTATTTCTGTTTTTTGAGACCCCGTATCAATCGTTTCTGGGTAGTTTCGTAATAGTTTGAAACTGTCGCATTCATTCACACTGGGTCCTGCACTCACAATTCTTGTATTCTTACAGCATAGAAACATCTTTTTTTCTCTCTTTTGTTGCAGTTTTGCGAGGCAGTTACATCTCGCGTCAGCAGTGACAAAAAAACTTTCTTTCATGATCATCTCCCTTCACATTGAATTCGATTTTCACCGTTGAATAGGTAAATTGAATTGCGAAGTGATGCGCATCCTTGCTTTTCAAGAACGTCGACCATTTAGTTGTAGAAAAAGCAGTGACTTCGTTTTGCACGCGAGTGCGGTCAACCGGTTCTGTTTGCACTGGCTTGCTCGTTCAAGCTTAAATCAGATATAATCTGTTCTTTATGGAGCGACTTTCGAACACAAATCCTCGTTTTTGCTTGCATCGGACGAATCCGTTTACGTAATCGCATCGCCTTGTAGGGCTAAAGTCGGACTTTTTTGATTTGACCACTCGATCACAGAAAGAGACAACTTTTGAATAAAAATTGTGCAGTTGAATTGCACAATGGCGGGTACCATATTCAGCATTTTGTAATGATTTGAATTTTTTGTTCGAGTATAGAATTAAAACAAAAAACTGTTTGTACTTGTAGAACACTAAACCCGGTGCATCTTCGCACTGCTCTAAATTTTTATTGAACCTCCTTCCCCATTCATTTTGAGAGCAACTACTGTTCTTTGTTTTAATTTTTCCATGACATTTACGGCCATGCGGCATACTATTTTGGGTCGCAGTCTGAAGCAATTTTCTAAACTCTGGGACAACTTTGAATTTGAAGGCAAAACAGGCAAATATGGAAAAGGTTTTTCTGGAAGTGCGACCAAACAGTTTGTGAATTCGGTTCTGGGAAATAGGGAAATTAGGCCAGTTGTTGCGTACCAGTTGGTGGAGAGAAAAAGTTCATCTGCTGCTCAGAAACTCAGTTATTTCTTGTATTTTTTTCGAGGCGAATATCGTAGATCAGTGGGAGGACTTTCGAGGTGTCACCTTACATCTCAGTCCATAAATCGTGTACATAGTTTTGTGAGAGCAGCCTATACTGGAACACCCCATTGCTTGCATTATGCCTAGATTTTATGTATCTATTGATTACTCGCGAATTCTGCTGCCTATGTTCATATCAGAATACATGCTTCGTAATTTTCTAACCACTTGTTTGATGCATAGTTCCTGCACCAAAATAGGCACAGATCATACAGTACATATTTCCTCTTCATCCTAGATAGTTCTTGATATACCTTTCGATAGAGCAAAGCTAGCTCTACAAGATAGTGCTTGAAGTTTTGCAGCAACCTTGATCCAAGCGAAGATTGAAGGCGCCCTAAAAACTAAAAAGAAATTGGAAGTCCCTCTAAGAAAATCCTTCAAAAATTCTGACCTGCTCATGCATTGGCATTTCATATGAAACATTTCTTTATGCACTTGCTGTATTTTTCTTCCAGCTAGAAAATGAGAAAACGAAGTTTTTCATGCTTTTTCCAGAACAGCGCTGAGATGTTTCAGCACTGACAGTTGTAGACTACACAACTTCAGAAGCATTAGTGTGGATTTTTAGCTTTTACAGCAGCTGGTTAACGAGAAATATTGAGTTTTTGGCAACTAGGTATGCGAAATTCGGATAAGGAGTGTTAGATTCGATATTTTTCGTGAACTAATTAGTTTTCAGAATGCTGAAAATATAGGGTTTCACTGCCAAAGGCATGCAGTATTCAAACGTTTGTACTAGAACATCTCAGCACTAACTTGGCAAAAACATGAAAAACTTCATGTTTTTGTCAAGTTAGTTAGTCAGCTCTCATCGTACAGCTGAGAAAAAAAAACAGCAACTGCATAGTTAAATGTCTTACATGGGATGCCTGAGCTTAAGCAAGCAAGAGCTTTTGTAGAAAATTTGTAAACGGAGTTGCAATTTTGTTTGGGTTTGGCTTAAGGTTTTCGGGCGTATGGTTTTTTTCTTCAGTTTTCGGCTTCAAACTTCGCGTTATTGAGCTGGGGTAGATATTTGAGCGCTGTCTTGTAGAGCTAGGTTTGCTCTATCTAATCATGTATCAAATTCTATTTAGGATATAGGAAAATTCCGGATTATTACGGTCTTACCTATTTTTTTGCAGGAATTATACATCAACCTAATAATTCATTTTTCCTATTCGTTCATGATTTCCTGCGTTTTTTTCTTATCTCATATTGCCATTTTTTTACAAACATCTCACTTTTCTTCCTCCAACAAACATGTCTCCCTCAACTTCTATTCTTTTTCGCGTAATTTTTCCAAAATAGCAGCAGAAGCAGTGCAAATTTTTCGCACAAAATGCTAACAGATTTTGGTAAATTACTATGAGGAGGGTACTGCAGTGAACTATTTTATTTTGAGCTGCGTGAACATATTTTGTCCCGTTATCTTTATCTCCTTCACCTGACGTGAATTAAAGCTATATGGCTAGCTGTTTACCCTATTTGGACCTCCGATTCAGCAGAGCAAGTTTAATGGTTGTTTTGGATTCACTCATTCTACGCTTGTTGACTCCGCGAACGCAAATGAGCTGTGAATCATAATTGTGCTGAGGACTTGTTTTTTTTTTTTGAACATCGTACGGCTTCTCATGTGTATGTGTGGGTGCTTTGATGTGTGAAATCTGTGGTTGCTTATTTTTGCAGAGATTGGATGAGGATTTGTAAGGCGAAAGTGTTGGAGACGGATGTCAGCCTAAACTGGTTATCTTATGAGTGGCACTTCAAATCGATGTACATCATAGCTGTTCTGCTAAAGCTTTTCTAGTTTAATCTCAACGTCCTCGTAGCTCCAAATAATGCAAGATCCGTTTATCAGTTGGAAAAGTTTCAATGAATATTACCAGTTTTTATTAGTACGGGCGAGAGTTTCAGAGGTGATATTGCTCCTCTATTGGCTTTGATCTTTCTGTGGCCTCATTCGATTCAAATTCTAACCTTTCAATCATGTATAAGTTATGCATGAATGGGCATCTTGAATGACATTTTGCATTGTCGATGTTGGACGTCATAGAACGTTTCTATCACCACTGTTCCGCAGCTGAAAACACATGCTCCATTGTTATATTGTGTTTTTTCGGACTATACATCGCTACCTGAATGGAAACCATAAAATGATTCCCTTTCAAAAGAAATCATTGTAAAGTGAACTAAATCTCCAGCCAAAGTTCCAATTTCACTTTCGCTTGCGCTGTCCTCTAATGATTTTTCTATTGAAGTTTCATCTTGTAAATTAGCATTTATTTGGTGTTTAGGAGGCTTAGACGATAAGTGGATGAATCGGGTCAACGACGTTGTCGTAGCAAGGTAGTTTGGGGTCAAGAGTTCGCCAGAACCTATGTTTGCTTAGTGATTGTTTCGGCTAGCAAATTATTGTACATACAGTGCTTAAATAAACGGCAAAAGGCTACATAAGTTTCATTTTCCATCCGATTGTGTGCCAAGTTCTTCTGAGGATCACAGACTGGCCTTTTTTCTGCGAGAAATCTAGGTTTACATACTGCAGACCTAGTGTTTTGGTAAGAGGCGTACATCGAAACTCATGTACGATTAATTGTGGGAGGCTATCATCATAATTTTCTGATTGATTGTTCCATTTAGTGGGAATCTCTTTTGATCAAAGCTGACGATTCTAGATGGAAACCTCCGTCACGAATAGGAGCTCGCAAGTTTTTTGGGACATATTAGGATACACAGTTTTTGCACCAAAAAAGAATTCGTTTTAAAATTGCTTGAACAAACTATTCAACTCGCAATATGCTTTTTATTATGCATATCAAAGGCAGTATTTTGAAAAAAAAATGCTTGCTTCAAAAAATCGACTGAAACAAAATCAATAAGTCAAGTAAATGGTTACTAAAGACATCAGATCACTCACAACTTCTTTTTCAGGAGTGGGTCTTAAAACCAAGACCAAAATATATCTGCAGATCTATCTAATTTTGATTTTTGAGAAAAATCAAGCAAATGAACCGAGTCTCTCTGTCCCCTTTTAGCTGTTGATTCGCGAATACTACATGATTGTAAATCACGAGAATACGATCTAATGGATGGTAATTTCCTATTCATTGCCGCAGAAAGACATGACATGTGGTCACACAATACGACTTATATTGCTGTTTGATTCTATCTGGTGGTTTTGAAGAGGTTCTTGCTTTTTTTGGGAAAAGTCATAGAGGTTGGAGAGAAAAGCAAAATTTCACTAGCATGTTTCTTATTTGATGCTTATTCTCGAGGACTGGCCTTCATATAACATAACTAGCTGGCAAACCCGGCTCCGCCCGGCCCTGTCATTATTATATTCGTAATCAGCATGCTCGATTACCCCCCTGTGCCAACTCCCAGCCCCGTAGCTCAAATTTTGCAAAAAATCGATAAAATCGATATCGGTCGATAACGAAAAGTAGCCTATGACACGCTCCCTGCCCCGAAGTATATGTGTGCCAAGTTTGGTCCCGATCGGTTCAGAAATAAAAATTTCTATTCCGCACATACGTACAGACATACAGACAGACATACATACAGACAGACATTCAGCTTTATATATAAGATATCTCCTTCTCTCGCTTTTGTCTGGATTTCTTTCTAAGAATTTGTCGTATGCATATTTTTAAAATCTTGCAAATTTTGCAAAGGAGCCTGCAATACGATCTATTTTTAGACTAAGCACGAATTACATTCTTATTTCCGTCACACATATCTAGTTCTTCTTTTTGTTCCCGTAGGAATTTTCCTCACATCCTCTTGCGGAGCAGTGAAACGTCTCGGTTACCTCGCTTTAGCTTATCTGGATTCCTCTGTGGGTGTTCCACTTCACAGTGGAAAGACCACTTCAATTTCGAGCAATTTCGGTCTTCTACTCTTGAAGTTTTTGAAACTCGGCAATTTTCTCATGGCCTCGCCTTACAGTCTCTTTACGATCGTTCTAAGTGACTGATTCCAACAAGATTTGATTTATCTTGTTTTATCAGTAAGCCTTGCGATACAAGTCGTAAGCTCAGCTGCTCTTGAAAAGGCATCCAATTATTTGCAGAAATTTTTTTCCTAGGTGAAGTTTGAAGCCAAAATCTGAAATTTTCGCCAAAAACTGTCCACCGCGCGAAATTGTACAAACTCCGCTGGCTCATAATATGTTGTCTACTTTTCTCCCGAGTGGAAAACGAGATAGTAAAAAGCTATGGTAAGATTGAGGTTTCTCTCTCATGGGTAATCATTTAAATTTGGACTTTTTTGAATACAATTACGGATTCTATTCTTGTACATGCGCTACTTTCCTCGAGATTAAATTTTCCCACGATAACACCGATAAGGCGAGATAACGTCCTTCTGGCTATTTTTGTTTCTCTGTTTCTAGCTACGAGTGTAGTCGCCATATATACGACATCTGATGCAGACAATATAGCATCTGTAAGGTCCGATGGATTTTATTTTGAAGTGCCTCGATTTTTGTTAGTATACTACAAAACCTCATGAACAGATGAGCCCGCCTACCGGGGTAAGTCCGTCATGACCTTTATTAAATCAAAATTCTATGGTGTCTATAAGTTTCAAAGCTTAGGGTTTCCCGTGTATCAGTCGAAGTTTTTCCTGAAGAGCTTTTGAATGATAATCTGAAAAGTTGACGATGCACGGACCTTACGCACGGTAAGAGCTAAAGTAATTTGTTTCAGCAATGCTATGAAGTGCTGTGGATGAGAAAGTTTGAAGAACAGCACAATTCATTGTACCTTTTTGGGAAAACTCTTCAAGAGTTTTCTTTACCGATTTACAAAAGGCGTTTTCTCTGCAGTTCTGCAAGAACTACAAGTGAACTACAGTTCACTACAGTTCTTGAAGTGAAAAGTCCAAGAAAAAAGCGGACTTATCCATAAGATTTCAGAGTATTTTTGACCGGGCTTTTGATTTCACATGCAGCAAACTTACAAGGAAGGAAGGTTGGTCGACGTGGTTTTTGAGATGAAATGTACACTGTTTTGTAGAGTTTGGAACCCTGATTCCATATCTTCCTTTTCTATCTGCTGTGGGCTTCTAGGCAAGGAGTTATGGTTTTTATGGGTAAAAATTTGAATGCGAGATTAGTGTGAAATTAGTCGTAATCTTTTCTTAACGTTCAAATGCGATATTTTTGAATCAAGAATATTTATTGCATAGAGTGACCCAACTATTAGTTACCCTCGAAAAAATGCTACTGGTGATTTTACACTAATATTGCATTTGACTTTTTACTTACAAAAACCTTCATAACTCCTCCCCCATATGCCCGTAGGAATGCGAAGACAGATTTGGAATCAGCGTTCCAGGTTCTATAAGGCAGTTTACATCTCATCCTAAGAGGCCACTTCAACCAGCTTTCCTTCCCTTGTTAGTTTGAATTTATGGAGGCCATTTGGTAGGGGTGTATATCAAGAGGCGCGATTGTTACTGCCAAATGGACAGAATATAGCACATATTTAGTGTTTTATAAAGTTCCAGATTATTTTGAAATCTCAAAAGAATTACAGTAGATAATTAGACGAATTGTTCCATCTTATCATCTTAAAATCGATTCCAAACAAAATTGTTAAAGGTAAGAACTCATGAAAATGCAATTAATAGCAATTTCGTAAATATTCCAGTCATTTCTCTAGCAAAAGTCGTCAAACTTATCAGATGATTACCTCAAACAGCTAGTAAGCCAGTGGGCTTTGTTCGGACTTTTTGAACACTCCCATAGCACGGAATTGGAGTTTTAAGTTGCTCCCAGCCGGCAGTCGCGCCTCTTGATCGTCTCCCATTTGGTAGAGCTTATGCTGAGTCATTCAAGTCTTACTGAATAAAAAAATAAAAATTTGTCAAAATTGAGCCGAATTTTTTCCACAGCTTAGTTCAATGATTTCCATCCCTTTTCAGTTGTAAACATAATCAGTCGTAGTGACTGACTGCATTCGTTTGACTATCAGGGATTAGGGAGCGACGCTAACCCCTCCGCTCGCGCGTAACTCGATATGCTAATGTGACATCGATGCCAGTTTGGCATTCGCACGGCTCACCCAGTACTCACGTCGCGTTAGTGGTTTCGGCCCGACGAGAAGGAAAGTGAGTCCTAGTTCGTTTTCCGAAAAGTGAAACGAAACGCAATTACGTCGTCTCGAATTTGAAGCGAGTTCTCTTTGTTATGGGTGATAGATGGCGACAATGGCCTATTTTGCGTTGTTTTTTTTGAATGCATTGCAGGTGTCAGCCTTCAGTCTTCTGACTCTTATATTGCAGCACATATCTAGAGCATTGACTAGAATTTTTTATATATTTCTGATTTTTTATATTATATTTATTTTATATTTCTGAAACCATGTTCGCCTCTCTTTGTTACTATCGAAAAGTATGCCTATTCTATAGTGATACTTGATTTGTCCTTCTTTTTTTTCTTTTTCTTTTCTGTCTGTGATTTCTGGTCCTTTCTGATTTTCACTTTCCCAGCTTGGTGGCGTGGTTAGGAGCATCATTTTTGCCATTTTTGGAGGATCACCTTTTTCCTACGAGAAGTTTCGAATGCCCTCCTTATCCATCTACTCCAATTCCAAGGTTTTCGGTATCCTGTGTGTTGAACCATTTGATTTTTTTCCTTCTCACATTATCGTTTTTATCTTTCCAAGATATTATCTCCTGTTTTGTTGTTTTTTCCCAAGATTATTTGGTAATTTTTAAAGTGCCGTTGTTGAATATTCGAGGTTTGTTTTTTCCCAAGATTATTTGGTGATTTTTAAAATGCCGTTGTTGAATATCCGAGTATAGCGAAGGATAGCGTACTCAAATAAAGTATCTGTTTGAGTCGGAAAATGACGAAAAACATTACTAAATGGTTATCCTTTGTGAGTAGTTCGCTTGTAATATACATGAATTTGTCAAAATATATGAATTTTCTATGGTAAATGGTAATCTTGGAAAGAACGAGATGTGAGCCAGCACTCAAACTTTTAGATTATAATGACTTCTAATATCATTTCAATTTATCTTTGGTAGACTTTTATCAATGTTAATGTGTTTGAGATATTTGGAATTTTCTTTCACATGCACATAGAGAAGTTATTTTATTTTTGAATGTGACCAATTTTGGCTGAATAGCCTTTTTCGATGCTGAAAAGTCATGACGGAAAGTAACGTATTCTTAAAAAGTGTCTTGTCTGATGGGATATACCTTAGGCAGTCGACTTCTTCAGATACTGAAGAAGGCGATTAGACGGAATGTTAGTCATATCATAGGATGAGAACTGGAAAGAAAACATACATAATAAGAAAAAAAGTTTTCAATTTGCAATGGTAAATAATCAAAAGGCTCCGTTTCGTTCCTGTTCTTAGACGGAGTAAAATTATTTACAGACCTTCCCCGGAACTCCGCAGTAAGGAAGGAAGGTCTGTAAAAAGATATGTTAGGGCTGGAAGGTCTGTATTAACTACTACTTTAATCTAGTTCATGTTCTGGCGAAGATTTCGTGAAAGTCTGTGTAAAGCTTTTAGATAAAGACGTCTTGTGCGCTAGCGTGTCTTTTCTTTGCTCAAACTGTTTATTAGTGCCGGAGCGTGCGATTCGCTTGTGGTTGTCCTGATAAGAAGTTATCAAAATGTGGCTTTTTGTCACTGTAATTACAAATTTTGGGATGCTCACGTAGCATTCAGACTTTGTTCGTAGAGAATTTGTGGAATTTACTGCTAAAACTGTTGGCATAGATATTCAGCTTCTTAGTTTGTCAGCTCTATCGTGACTGATGTGTAGCCAAAGTTTTTTGCGTCATCTTAGTGAGTAATTGAATTTCTGTTGATATCATTATCGTGAAAAAAGATGCTATCACGCTTGTGGCCAAACCCGAAGTGCCCGATTTCACACGCAGTCTCTAGATAACGTAATCTTCTCCTTGGTTGACGAATTTTTCTGTTTAGTGCTCTTCTCGCACTGTGCTCGCGTCACGTTTTCGTGCTCAAGGAACACTTTCGGCTCAGTTGTCTGCAAATTCGTAAGCAAACAGAGACTCGACCAGTTCCTTCTCTCTTTCTCGCTGCAAAAGCCCAGGCTTACCCGAAAAATCTTCTGTTTACTTGCTTGCCATACAGTAGTCACAAAGGCTATACAAACAAGGGAAATGCCCTTCCTATACTATCTTATCAATTGCACATACTTTCATCGTCATCAGTGAGGATATCAGTGCGGTTTTGGTCGTAAATACACAATCATTTCGTTGTCAGTCGCTCGTTTGCAGCTGACAACTAGTGCTTTGCGTTCAACGAGAAGTACATCTATTATGGAGAATTGCACGCTATCGATGCCACCACCCGTGCTGGGCTGGAATTATCGCTTCCCATTGCTTTTGCCCCCCCCCCCCTCCCCTTGTCTGCTATTGAACCGAAATTAGGACCATATTGGATTCCATATTGGCTTCCACATGTTACTGATGTCTGTTTATGAAGTTCATATATAAGTCTTGCATCAAAAATTTGAAAAACTCGTAACTCCTCCCCACTTCAAAGGAACCTTTTATTTTGGTAAGTACTGAATAAATTCTTGCACTCTCCAAAAGTTATTTTGAGCAATGTATTAGCTTGTCGGAAAATAATGTCGCATTGCATCCTACCGCGACAGAGTGATTACGAAAAACAGTGATTGGGGTATCATTTGATAGATCAAAGCAAGCTCTACAAGATGGCATTTGAACATTTGAGCAGTCTTTGATTTACGCGAAGTTTGAAACCAAAACATGAAGATTTTTAAATATTCAAAAAATCGATTGGTTCTTAGAATTCTTACGGACCGGATTTGCTCAAGCATGTTGTCTATACATGAGACATTCATGTGTACGGTTCTGGAAATTTTCCATAGCTAGAATACGAGAAACCATAATAGATCACAAGCGTGAATGTGTCGCGTTTTTCGCGTAAATTTGATTTTTCTCGAGAACTAACTTTTGTAGAAAGCTGAAATTTCGTGGTTATACTTCCAAAGGTTTATACTGAACAATCACCTGTTTAAGAGAAGCGCAAGATTGCTTTGACGGAAGTTTGCCAAATTTCGGTTTCTCGCTTTCTAGCCATGAAAATACCACGAAACTGCGCACACGAGTGTCTAATGTAGAGAAAGTGTGCGTGAACAAGTTGGGGGTCCCTAGGATTTTTTTGAAAGGAAATACGATTTTTTCTCAATTTTTCAGGCCTTCAGTGCCTTTTGAAGTTGGCTCCAAACTTCGTGCAAATCAAACTTGGCGCGAACGCCTAGGCTTCATTTCGTAGGTGCTTTGGTCTATCGGTTGGTACTCCATTTCCTTTCTTTCGTGCTCATCCTGCCGCGATAGTGCATAATGAAACTCGATGCGACATTATTTCCCGGACAACCTAATATATCAGTGGCGGTCGCAGGATTTCTGTCCGGGGGCGGGGGCGGCAAAATTTTTTCCTAGTAAAGGTGCGTGGCTCTTTTTACAAGACTATGAATTTTCAAAAATTTTATCAAAAATATCTTAATCATTTGCAAGAGTAAACAAGTCACATGCACGTTTTTATAACTCATATAAGTAAGTTCCAAAAATTTTACCCATTCTCTGGGGGGGGGGGGGGGGGGGGGAGATCCGCCACTGTCACAGCCCTATCGCAATGATATAAGCTGATGAAGAGTATCGTTCAAAAATCAGTTTTTTGAATTTCGCTCCTAATATTATTGGGTCTTTCACTAAATTCTCATTTTCGTTTTGCTTTTGGTTTCGGATTTATGCCGTTTTATGACATGCTTCTTATATCTGAGAGAAATTCGTGCTGGTCGGACGTCTCTACGAATTGCAATTTTCGAATTTTTTAGCTTTTGGCTTCCAAGTCGAAAAAATCTGTAATATTTATAACAAGGTACGACCCCTGATAATGTTAAAAAATGGTTTTTGAGAAAAACTCAACAAACATTTTCGCGAGTGTTTTGACTTTTTGGTGCAAGACTTGTGTATCGATCAAATACAAGCTTTTCTTTTTTTTTCTCCCGCACCCTATTTCCAAAAAACAAAGTGTATATAAATATTGAGCTCTGTCGAGCGACTTCGACGTCGAATGCTCCGTAAAGCTTTTTTCTCGGGCTCGTACACTCAAAAGTGCAATTTGGCCTCCTGTTTGCTATCTCCATTTCATTTTATCTCACGTTTTTCTATCACATCGGCCTACTACTATCTACTGCTCTCCCATTCTCTTTCGTTCAAAAAGAAACACTTTTAACTAAAAAATTAGGTAACATTTGCAGCTTTGGGGCTATACATGCTTCAACTTGATATATAGTCCTCCATCATCCTGACTTTATTCTATGTGAATGAGAGGAGATATAGATTTTTTGAATGTATTATCGTTGACAGACGCGCCTTCCTAGAAAATTTCTGAGATGTTTAAATTTCCAGCAATTTGTAATTTTGGAATTGACGCCCCACCATGAAAGTTCGCACAAAGCCTGTTCAAATCTTCATATCGTAAAGAATTACTGTAATTATTTGCTAGTATAAACAAGTTTCCTGCACCATTTTAGCTCATGATCATTCTCAAAATTTCCGCAATCGGTTTTCTGGCTACGTAGCTCCTCCTTCAGTCCGCTATTGGCCTTCTTTTTGCCTTTTTTGTGAAAAATTGGACTTTGAGGAGCATCAATGAGAGCACTTCAAGATGTGTTTGAAATGTTAAGTGACAAGTCGGTTAGTTTGAACGAATGCTGCTAAGAAAACTTCCAAGTTGTTGTAATGCGCTGGTCCAGTCTATAGCTGCATCGATTAGCTTTATTTCCCTTTATCAAGTTTTATCGTACTAAATGGACCTTAGAAGCTTTTTCTCTTTTTCAACTAACGGTTCTTGCCCATCGATACCACCTGAAAAGTGCGAATGTTTGCTGAATAGATTTCAAAGTTACCCACTAGCATGTAGATTAAGTGATTAGGTGAGGACATTTCAGCAGGTTCCTAGCGTGCCGTCCTCTAGTTGGTACGTTGGTACGAGTTGACTAATTTTACCGTCTAGACCAGTGGGTGTTTATATACCGATAGTGCGAATGAAATATACTGTTATTGCTTCGCTAGTCAATCGCTTATCTTCCTTTTCACTAGCTTTGTTTACGAGTTGAACACGAATGTTTATGAAATTTATCGGAAGTGGTCTGTCTTCATGAATCATACAGAGAGTTTTTGCTGAAATCATTGTTTTACCGAAATCATGTTGACAAATGCTATTAAGCGTGGATTTTATGAGATTGGAAGAACAACAGGGTTATCTCATGGATGGCGAGACTTTCCATTCTAGCCACGCCCTCAAGAAATTTTTTGGGATGTTTATTGGACTTTTGCAAGCAGTAGCCTTGGGTCTCTAGAATCGCACGGTTGCCGCTCTCATTTATTCAAAGTCGTAAGGCTTCAAGCTTGGAAAGAATTTGAGAAGCAACCAGAATTTTTCTTGCAGGGGGTGGCCATATTGAATGTCTCACCAAAAAATTTTTTGTCCTGTCCCCCTCCTTCCTCGTAAAATATAATTCTGGGCTTCACAATTGCTGTATATTTGTACGCTTAGATTGAACTTACAACTTATTTTATGAGCATTGGACACTTCAGTCGAAATTGACAGAGTACTGAGAAGAATACTCAATCCACTGCAACAATCTCTGCTAATTTCCAAAAAAAGATAGAATTCTGCATAGTCCTGTTATTTTTTGGAAAATTCTGAAGTAATTAGCGCTCAAACAAATTTAATCTGACGTTTGGTTCCGCACCGATTCTTGTATAGAGAAATTTTCTGCCCGAATGTATTTGTACTCTGCTCGGTAACTGCAAATTTTCCTCTGGATTCTGTCACATTTCTGACTGACAGAAACCAGCTTTTCTGCTTTTCATCCCAACTTTCACTCACGTCTAGAATACAAAGCGATTTTTTTCGCTGCGCAGTTTGCATATTTCCTTGTGGCTATGTAATATGTCTTTTCTTTTTTCTCTGAGTCATTGCTTATAAATATTTATGCTGTCATCCATTATCCGTGCAGCCACGTTACTAACGCGAATTCTTTTCATTTGCTGGCTGTTTTTGTTTTTTTTTCTTTTGCTATGCCATATCACGTAGCAATTAGATAGATGTATCGTCAATACTGATAAAGTTTTTAGCCTATTGACTCAGCTTTTTTTGATTTCAGATGTTCCATAGATGCCGATAAAATTGACTCAATAGGCAAAGATGGACATGGGCAGTATTTTCGAGACTTTCGTCACTGCATCGACTTTCCGTTCCATACAAAATTCCTTCTATCAGCTGTGCATAGCGGCTGATATCGACCCATCGGATTCGATCAACGTGTATAGAAAGTGGGGGTTTTGAAGGATTTTAGGGAAATATATGCTAAACGCTGTTCTTGCAGACTTCGACTTATAGATGACTGGAAAGCCCAGAAATTATTCAAGCTTCTAGACAAGAAATGGGAACTTGCCGAGTACAAAAAGCAAACAGCCTGCGAACGGCTAAATGTTTTCGTAATTGGAGCTGGTTCGTGCTTTTCAGGTCTTGCCTAATCTCAAGAAAAAAGTGCTTTTTAGGGCCATGTGGCCTACGATCTGCCATCGAATCTGCTCTGCTAGGATCTCGTGTTGTACTGGTCGAACAGCGTGAACGATTTAGTCGCAACAATGTTTTGCATCTCTGGGAATTTGTAATTCAAGATCTGAAATCGCTAGGAGCCAAGATATTCTACCCAAAGTTCTGTACTGGAAGTATCGAACATATTAGTGAGTTTTGTCTTTTGTTTATGCATTTTTTTGGATATTGGTTTTTTTGGTTTTTCTTCCCCTGCTTTATTTTTATTCTTTTATCCATTGATATGTCATCGAAAAAAGGAAATAGGCTTTAGCCATGCCGATTTTTTTGCTTCCATTATCAGTGCTTTTGGAAATTTGTGAGGGGAGCCATGCTGCATCTCTATGTGAAATGTTTGGAAAAAAATTCGCGATGCTCTTTTTGTGCCTGTGTGAGCCTACAATTCCCGCTCCTGTTTTTTTCGTCTATGTTGATTTTTTCCCAAGTACTCACTTTCGAAAAACAATTTTGGAAAGCCAATTTTTCTCCTACTTTTTAAAAGCTTTATGTCATAAGAGTCTCTTCTTTCTTCCAGGCATTCGCCAATTGCAATGCATTCTTCTCAAAGTTGCCCTTTGCTTTGGAGTGCAGATTCACGATTCTGTTACATTTGTTCAGTTAGTTTTCCCGAAGAAGGAGGGTAATCATGGTAAGTTGTTTTTTGCTCTTTCTCTGCAAGTTTCGAAGAGGTTGAAATTTTGCTTTTAGTCACCGGTTTTCGGGCAAGTCTGGAGCCTAAAGGTCATATTCTGTCTGAATATGACATTGATGTGATTGTGGCAGCGGACGGTAAAAGGAACACCATACCGGGTATGCTGCCTATTTTGATTGATTTCTGTCTCATCCATGAGTATCTTCATGGATTGAAAAGAGAAGGAATTGGTTCCTTTTTTGTCAAAGCAGTGATGTGCTCGTAGTCGTGTCATCTTGTGTTAAGAGGATTGAGCTGAATTTATTGCAACGATTTTCATTAGAAAAAAGGTTGGCACATCTGCGTTTCTATTTACAGAAACGCTTGCAAAAAAAAGTTTGCGAAAAAGATAATCCGCCCATGTGGAGGCTTTGCAGTGCAATTCTCATCAAAGTTTTTTTTTGCATAATAAATTCATGCAGGGGCTTAGCTCTGCATATTCCGAATAGAATCTGCGGTCAAGTATGCGTTGCAAAAGGGTTATAGTTTGCAGCCGATACGTTTTGCAGCTTTAGGACCAGAGAACCTATAAAGAATAGTAAAAAGTCTTTGCTAATTACTGCCAGTCTCGAAATAATTCTCATGCTTTGATAGCACACTTCTTGGCGGATTATTAACCAAGGCATGTGCTGTATTGTCCACTGAAAGAAAGCAAGCCCCACTAGACTTCGTACATTATTATAACACAAGATCTTTGCTGGGCTGGAGCTCGATTTCATGACGGAATAATTTTTTAATTTTCTGGAAAAATCATAGCTCTATAAAAAAAATTTTGGGAGCGCCTCCGCCACTTCCCGTTTTCTGGAATTTTAGGGTTATGGGCCCGCAAAAATTGAGATTTCTAAGAAATTTCTCTGGGTGCGTTTACGCCACCGCCTTTGATCAAAAAATTCTTTTCATTCGCCTTTAATCAAAAATTTCCACAAAAGCAATATTCATAGTGGTAAATGGTTTCGAAAATTATAGGAAGACCCAGCCCAGCAGCCAGGACTGCCGTTCTTGGGAGGAGAGGTTGTCTTTGTCACCCTCTCCTTCCAGGAACGGCAATCCTCTTACCGCCGATGCGTCTTCCTATGATTTCCGAAACCATTTACCACTAGAAAATTGTTCTTGTGGAATGCACGGAGGGGAGTATCTCTTTCTAAGTTTATAGGGTCGAAAAGCCTTCATATTTTCGAAAGGGGATTTCTTGCGCTGGGTAGGTACTAGCGCTAGTTTTTTCTGCACGGTTCCGCCTTGGAAAAGTATGGATGTTGAAATAGAATATTAAAGAAATCTTATAGTAGTGTATCTTATATATCCGTCGCTTCTATCCTCTCTTTCTAAAAATACTGAAACCTATTTTGGAATCGTGCAGTCCTACCATCATTTTTCTTTCAGGGTTTCCTCGTGAAGAAATGCGCGGCAAATTAGCTATAGGTATAACGGCCAATTTTGTCAATAACAAGACATATGCTGAGGAGAGAGTGCCCGAGATAAGGTAAGGAAAAGCTTTAGGAATTTTACCCTTTTTTGTTTTCTCGCTTATTTCATGCTTAGCGTGATATAGCCCTTCTAATGACTTTGTCATCTTGCTTGGATCACTTAATATCTTCTTAATTTTGTAAAATCACTTTTTATTTGGTCATTAGTCCATGTTAGAATTGTGTAAAACCTTTTTTTTCATTCTTGATAGTATAGTTATACAAAATATTCTATGGTCAATTTTTATTGTTTTTTTTAGCGGAGTCGCCTACATATTTAACCAAGCGTTTTTCAAGGAAATGTACGCTAAGACCGGTGTTGACCTCGAGAATATTGTTTACTATAAGGTATTCATGTGTCTTAACAGTTAATCTGACATCATGATTGGAGAATTCAAGGATTTATCGAGATTACATCTATATCTTTGCAGGATGACACGCACTACTTTGTCATGTGTGCTAAGAAACAAAGCCTTCTTGACATGGGTGTCATACTTCAGGTGAACGATTTTCTGTCTAATAATAAATCTGTTCAGTAGCCAAAAGATAATTGGGATTGTAAATGGTAGATAAGCGTTTGCAGCGAAATCTGCGTCGGTTAGCGTTGAAACAAAGGGCCGCAAACAGAGTACAAGTTTGGATGATAACAACATGTGACAGGAAATGTTCTGAGAGGATTAGAAATGGAGTTTACAAGTGCACTTTACAAATCTGCGATATATTACTGATTTTCGATATTTTGGGGGTTCATAGGAATGTGAAAATTGCACAAGTCGAAAAATGAATGGGTAGTTTCAGGCAAGGATATGTTAAAATGGGGGAAATTCTGGGGTCATTTGCAGCAACAGTAAGCGTTCTGCGGAAGTTCCGAGGTGTACCCGCGGAAGTGTTGGCAACTCAAAATGCTGTCAAGCCACTGTTATTATTCCGGGAAATCCGCGCCCTCTGAGGTGCTGCGAAAGTAGCTTTTTTTGGTCACCGCGACTTGAATTCTGCGGATACCCCACCCCACTTCTTGACATGAGCACTTTTCCAGTAGTAAATTCTGCGGAACTGCTGCGGTCTCGCTTGCTAAGCGGAAATGTTGAAACTGCTCGATTTTATTTGTACGTAGAAGTACAAAAAATTAGCAACAAGCTATCTGTTGTTGTAGTCAAAATAAGCGCCCTATATCTGTCTAGCCGCTATGTCTTCCTCCCCTTTGTTTTTCACTCAGATTCGTTCATTATCTTACATAGAATATTCGTGTTTAGCACGCTATCCTAATAAAGACGTCATCCGCGATAAATAATACGCTATTAATTACGTCATGTTCAGCTATCTGTACATTCTAGGATAACACGCATAACATAAAAAAAACAGTCATTCCGAAAATTCGTGATTACTAAGCTTGCGTTCTGTAAAGGACGTGATGCCCCACCTCTATCAGGAATAGAACAGTTTTTGTAGATCTGTCAAACATGAACTAAAACATCAGTTAAGCGTAATGTCAGCCATCTAATTAGCAAATTGGCGACCAAAATACAGCTCATATAGTGGAACTCTTTTAGGACAATGAGGATGTCTCTCAACTTCTTTCTTCTCAAAATGTTGATCAAGAGGCTTTGTGTCGATACGCCATAGCTGCTGCGGACTTCGCAACGAATGGTGATTTTTTGATAAAAGAATATAAGAGTAAACTTCAGTAATATAAGAAATAAAATAGGAATAAACTTCAAACAGTTTTCCTGAGTTGGACAATTTTTGGGTATGTAATCGAATAGTCAAAGAGTGTAAGAATCAAGTGCAGTGCATTGTTAATGACCATACATTTACATTTTGTGCAAAGCTATGTACCTTAACAAAGTTATGTTGTGTGAAGTAATTCCACGGTTCTTATGATTGGTTTAATTGACAGATGCTATTAGACAAAACTTTAATGTGATCAGAGAACCAAGCAAAGAGCAGAAAAATAAATAATTTTTTTCCGCTGTTGTAGGAAAGTGGACTCGCGTAATGGCATCTTATAAGAGGAGCTCTGTGAAAATCCTGCGAGAAATTAGCAAATAGTGCCTTCTTTGATTTTTCTTCACGATTTCCATCGGACAAACCTTTTAAGACTTGTGCATCTTCTAAAAACCTGTATCGAAGCACAAAACTGTTTTAGTTAAATTAGATCTGCTTTCAGAAGGGCTGAAGTATAACCCGTTTTCGTCGAAGATTTATCATTACAGGGAAACTTCCCTCCCTCAACTTTGCCAAAAATCATCGAGGTGAAGAGGATGTCGCTATGTTCGACTTCACTAGCTTATACTCGTCTAAGTGTTCGGTACGATTAGTGGAAAGAATGAACAAGTATCTTCTGATGGGAATAGTCGGAGATTCTTTGCACGAGGTGAAGCGAGGTATCCTGGAGACTTTCGCATTTTATCGCTCAATATTTTCCAGCCATTTTGGCCCACTGGATCCGGTTGCGCTCGTGGTTTCTTGGGTGTCTTGGATACGGCTTGGTTGATTAGGGAGTATGGAATTAACAAAAGAGGTTCCTACCGTTTTTTCATAACCCATTATCTTTTCTGATTGTACTTTTTTCAGGACCTTTGGAAATGATTGCTGAACGCGAGAGCATCTATCGTTTGTTGGCTCAGGTCACCAAGGATAATATGAATAGGGCCATAAGCAGGGTAAAAACATCAACATTGTTCTTCTCTTATGAAAACTAATTTTGTTACATACAGTACACTATCGATCCTCGAACACGGTATGTACATCTCGAGATGCCCTTGCAACCTGAGGATGTGGTCCAGATTGTCAGCTCAGATAACCCGAGAATGGGTAAGGCGCAGTTTGCTGTTAGTCTAGTCTCGTTAGAGGAGCATCCATCATGAGCTATATCTATATGCGAGGAAATATATCACTGCCACATCGTTTTGATCGTTACCGTTCCCGATCGAGGCTGAGCTGAGGGAGTAAAGCTCTGGGAAATCTTGCTACCTATAATTCTCAACCGGATACTGCCTTCAGTCGAGTCATAGCGTGGCAGCTTATATGACTCCTCTATGGTCGAGAAAACTATACATTATAACTAAACGCACTTATAACCGGTTGAATCCAAAAAAAATTTCGAAAAAAAAGTCAAATTCTATACAGCAAGACTATCATTCATTCCATGACTAGGAGACGCGACCGCATTGCACACTTTGTCTAAACAAGCTTAATCATGTAATTAGCAGGATTGTACTTGTTATTGATCTCGTCAGGTTTATCCACTTTGGAAACAGGGAAGAACAAACTCAAACTTGTAAAGACAAGTCGCAATGCGGTCTCGCATCTCCTAGTCAAAGAATAGATGATATAGGCTGCTGCATGACGAAGGCGCAATATTTTCGGGCGCGAACGCGGCTTTATTAGCCGCAGAGCGCATGAGGTGCGGGATCTACAACGGTGAAAATACGCGCGCGTCGCGTTCGCGCCCGCTCAACTGATATCGCCATTGCGCCATCGTCATGCAGCAGCCTTTATATATGTGTCTAGTCCATTATCGTATCCGAGAGCGTTGACTGGAGAAACTACGGTACTGGGCGCGAGCTTAAAGCTGAATTCCTTGGCCACGAGTCCACCCAAAATGGGATCGCTGAGATTTTGATGCCTAACATTAGCGGAGCCTCCAACTTGCTCAACTTCAGTCATGTGAGCTTCACTTGCACAATGGCGTAATCATCTCCCAATATCCATATGAGGAACCCAGGATTCAGATTCACCTCTGGAACGTTGCACTCAGATTGACGTAATTTGTCGCGCAAAAGTTCTCACTGCAAGAAACCGTTCAATCCAGCAAACCTCTCAAGCTTATTTTTCAGCTCCTATAGGACAGGCGCTGGTTCTCAATAATGCTAGTTCCGTACATGCAAATCCCGCCCTCCGCAAATATTCTTTATGGAAGTTCTGCCATCAAGCACTATCGCCGTACAAATTGAAGCTTTATGATCTCAATAGTTGGTGAGTTTCCCATTTAGGTTGGTAAAAAATGTACGGATAGCTATATTTTAGCTGGAACGATGGAAGAGCACTTGCCGGATTAGTTGCGAAGTTTCGGCCAAGCGCTTTGGATTATTTCAATGTCATCAATATGCCAAATGTCAATGATAGGTTGCAGGTAAATCTCACTTAGCTGATTTTTTTTTGCATAATTAAGAAGTTGTAAAACTTGCGGAGAAGTGATTTTTGTATCTCCGAGCGCTCTTTCTTCCAGGCTATCTTCAACGCTATACGAGATGATATGGGAATCACTCCACCTTGCTCAACCTACCAGTGGGCCCATCTAAAGCCTGAAGCCAAGTTTGATTATATCGAGAAAGTCGTGCACTACCTGAGGTCTGTATACAAATTATGCGTTTGGTGGTCTCTACTTAAAATCGGTTTATAGAGCGGATCATGGTCGAGTGAAGAACGTTATGGTTACAGTGCGACCTCATGCTGTACAGAAAAGAAAGAACCAGAAACCGGTAGCTTTACATTTCTTTTCCTTGTTTTCTTCTATTTCTTTCCTTTTTCTTTGATCTTATTACTCTATCCATCTCAGACGTTTAGAAAGATGTAGAAAAGATATAGGCATTCCGAACTTAGAAGGCATATGGACTAAGTATCACTTATAGTTAGTTTAAAACCCTATAGTCACTATAGTTGTAACGAACAGAAATTTTCGCCGAATGAACGAATATCGAATAATCAATTTTTGAAGATTTTTCGAACGAATGAATATCGAATAATTGATTTTCGAAAATTTTTCGAACGAATGAATATCGAATATTTAATTTTCGAAAATTCTTCGAATGAGCGAATTTTATTCGACTTTCGATTTTCATTTTATTCGAATTTGAATATTCTAATATTGGCACATTCCAAAATTCGAATGAACGAATACATGAATAACCGAACTTGATCGAATATTCGAACTAATTTCGAATAAATGTTCGAATATCATTCGAATTGAATGCAGTATTCGAATATTCGAATATTCGAATACTATCTTTCAAAACTACTCGAATGAACGAATATTCGAATAATCTTTTTTGAAACTCCTCGAATGAGCAAATATTCGAATAAGTCATTTTTCGAAATCGTCGAATGAACGAATTATTCGAATATAGGCCTTTATCATTTATTCGACTATTCGAATAATCGAATAAATGGACTTTCTCGGATATTCGACCATTCGAATATTCGAATAGTCGAATATTTCGAATAAATTACTCGAACACGAATATTCGGTGCTAACTATAATAGTCACCACCCGATCAGCTTTGTGTGCGCTTTCTTTATGATCTCAATATTGGCCATTCTAATACTGAGTAAAATAAATAAGTAGTACTCAGAATTCTGGTTTTCCTATCGAAATTTTCAAATTCGGATTACATTTTCGGATCTGATTTTAGAGTCGCGACTTCTGCAACATTCCAAATTGCACAAGTTTGTAGTGAATCTCAAAAACCAGGAAAATCTTCAGTTCTTTTTCCAGATCATGACTACGACCCCAAAGAGAAGCGGATCTATCAAACGCTTGGCCGATAATATCTTGGGTTGTTCCACGTTCAAGCCAAGTACTTTTGCCGCTCCAGTTGTAGAAGATGTAAGTAGAGAGAGATAATCCCTTTTGCATCGTTACAGTATGCTACTGTAACCTGAGCTGTGTGTGGAAGTAAAATCGTTTTTCGTTATGAGCTTAATTTTTTTATGTGGAATTATGCGAGAAAAACTCCGCAGAGTGTAGCCGAGACAAGATTTGTTGCTTGTGTAGGGGCTAATTTGTGCCACATTACGGTAGCATACTGTATATTTATGCGAAAGAGTCTATAGCCTTAAAAAGGTTGTTTTATCGTTTTTTCACATTCAAAAATGACTTCGAGCTGTGTCAGCAGAGTTTTGGTATGTATAAACGGTTCGTAGCACGCAAAGACTGCGGACGTATCGACGTCTCTCTAATTGAGCGCTCTTTCGTTTCTCTTACCGTCTGTTGTCTCTCCCATACACGAACTATCTTGGCCGGACGCAACGGCGCCCAGTCTTTGCGTGTCATGAATCTTGTGTATTTGAAAATTCTAAAATATTCACGGTTTTTTCTTCACTATTTTTATATCTTTGACATTTTTGATGGCTATACCTTTTTCATTTTCGTTACTTTCAGTATTATCTCGCAATGCCTCGATTTCTTACAGACAACACTTTCATCTGCTGCATGCATACGCCGTGATGATGATGTTGATGATGACTTTGAAAACTCTGACACCGGTCCAATACCACGCAGAAACTCCAAAATCGTTCGTCATTATTCTTATAGAACTTTACGTGAACAAAATGTGGGTCATTCGTGATTGAATGCACCTGAGTTCACTTTGTTTGTTAATGTAAATATTTTGAGGATGAAGACGCGAAACACTATACAAAACGGCCACATGTGGATCGGTTGAATCCAGATCTTGTGCAGAAGGTGGGACACTTTTTTGTCTGATTCGATCTAAGAAGTATAAAAACTGTTAATTTCACAAAAATCTGGTAGAAAGTTGTAGTTTTTCAAAATAACTGTAAAAGAATTTGTCGATTTAGGTAGAACGAATTATTACCGGAGATGTGGCAAAACAGCAAACGTCTGAGTTTTATGCTGAGAAGAATCGCAAGGTGGGCACTTTGAATTTTTTTTGACACTTACTTGATTTCTTTGCAAACTGTGTTCAAGGCAGAACAGTTCACCCACAAACTGCCGAAGAACGACATTGAAGAAATGGAGAAGAGGTTAGAACATTCTGGAATGGGCGTTCTGTATGCGAAAACCGAGCACATAAATAGTCAGGATGAGAAGGTGATCTTCTTCCTGTCTGATGCTTCAAACCACGAAAATGCCTTTCTCCAACGTGGTAAAGATTGTATTCTTCAGATCATTCGAACAAATGCTGCTTATGCTCGCAAAGAGGCTGAAGGAGGATTTTCGAACGAGGAGAAGCTAAGCCGCTTCAGGGTGAGTTCATCTCAAAGCAAGGTCTAGGCAGATTTGGGTAACTGGATTTACTTTTTGGAATCTGATTAGGAGGTCTTAGCTAAACTAATGCTTAGGCAACAAATCATTAAAAGCATTTGTGGTTGGGAGATTTAATTTGAATTCTGTCCCAAACCATACCACAAGGACGCTGTTTTCGTTTGGAAAGATTACGGTGTGGATTGGAGTTGTTGAGTTACTCGCCAACAAATAAAACTTAAAGGCAGTGTCTCACCAAAATTTAGTTGCCGAGATTTTTGCATTTCGCAAGCCTGTTGGACTCTTTCTAGCACTGTATGGGCTTAAAATCGCACGGAATCCCCAAAAACCCCGTTTTCTGGAGGCTTCGCGGAAGCAACGTGGACGAGTTGTACCTTCCAACTTCAGCCTCAGACACAGTGACAACAACAAAGGAGAGGTAGATGCCAAGTGAGGGGCATGTTCAAACGCGTAAGGGGAGAGCTCGAAGAAGTCGTCCGCGCGTACCAAATCGCTCTCCGCGTACCACTTTGAGCGAATTTTTCTCAGCGTGGAGGAGGTCAAATTGAGTGAGGCTTGTTGCAGTGGCCTATTTAGAGGTCCCTATAACAGAATATGTGAAGATCCGCGCGACCTCAACTTTGGTGAGACACTGCCTTTAAGATGTCGTTTGCGTAATGGTAGCAGGGTCTCGCAATTAATACAAATGAGAAGTCCAGATAAAGGCTCTGCAGGACGAAAGGCGCAGAAGCAGTCTTAGTTGAGCGGGCGCGAATTCGTGCGCGCGTATCTTCACCCTTGTAAACCCTGCGCCTCATGCGCTCTGCGGCTAATAAAGCCGGTTAGCGTCCAAAGGTATTACGCCTTCGTCATGTAGTAGCCTGTATCTAGATCTGTACGGGCACTGCCTCTAAGAGCTCAGGTTCAAGTCCTTAAAGTTACAAAAAATTTTGTTTAGGAATATGACGATAAGATTGCCAAATCAACAGAAGTGATGAAAATGCGCGATCTTGCCGGCGTTGATCCATTCGACAAATGGCGACAGCCTAACCCCTATCCAGCAGAAATCGTTAGGGTCAGCTCAACTTTAGTAATTTTTTTTTTGAAAAGGCAATCAGTGGTACTCATATTTTTGTTTTTCTAGGATAATATCCATAAACAGCCTAACGTGCCTCCTACTCCACCTAAGCGGACTAAAGTAGTGACCAATCATGCGCCGGACGGTGTTGTCATGAGGGTAAGGTTCTAATTCCAAAAGTTTTTTGAGGAGAAACGAGGGAGTGGGAAAGGGAGGTGGTAGAATTCTTGCAAAAAGGTTTCATATTAGCTACATATACTACAGGTCCATACAAGTAACATCTAATAAAAAGATTAATTTTATGAACTGTGTAAAAATTTGGATAAGTTCTGCAAAAGAATTTTCGGGTCTGCAGCCGCAGAAATTTTTGAATTGCCTTTACTAGAAATCTATGCAGGTGACATGTTTTGTTTTGTGATAAGAATAATTTTGAAGAGCTGGTGGTATGATTTCCAAGACAAACTTCCGGTGTTTTTCCAAGTACGCCTCCCTTGTTTTGACAAATCAAATTTGCCCTTTGATTCAACTGGCTTGGCGGCTGAAAGGGGGGCCATGTGACCTAGTTAAGGCTAGATAATGATCAGAGAGCACACGCGCGCGAGAGACGCAGACTGCGTCGCGAGCGCGAACATCCTTAATTAGGTCATAGAGCCCCGCCTTCTAGTCGCCAAGCCAGTTGAATTAAAGGTTTTTGAAGCATTCCAGAAAAGTTCTTACGGCTTGATCTAGTCTCACGACTGCGTTGAAGAAACTTCTGTCCCGCCTCCTCCAATTCCAAAAAATTTTGTGGGACGGCCGGTGTCTGTATGAAATATTTTTTTTTTGTGTTCTAGCCAGTCGCTCCGGTAGCACCGAAGCGCCACGTGTCAGCGCCGATGATGTCTTCGCTGTACGATAGTGTCAATGCAAGACGTCAAGAGACTTGCCGCCTTTGTGACAAAGTACGTTCCTTTTTTTTTACCTTTCCTTGTTTTTTTTCATCAACTTTTCTATCCTTCCTTTTTATTAAACACTTTTCATAAGTTTCCAGTTTTTCTCATTTTTAACCTCTTAAATGTTCTACTTTGAGGTTGTATATCTGGCCGAGCGAATGCAGGTAGAATCCATGTATGTCCATAAAAACTGCTTCCGTTGTGCTTACTGTACTCAACCACTTCGGCTGGGCGAATATGGTAAAGACAAGGATCTGGAGTATCACTATCCCAGAAAGTGAGTTTGCTTGAAATTGATGGATTGTGGTGAAATGGTTCCTCACGAATGAGCGGCATCGTAGTACACCAGCTATTTAGGACATTGCCCTTGCGCAGTTTTGCAAAAAGTCTGCGAGTGGGATTGCGAGAAATCTTGCAGTTCACATTCTAGTCTCTCACTCTCTCGTCCTATATTATTCGGATAAAAACTTTCAACATGCACAAAAGCAATATAGCAATTTCTAGTAACTTCGTCATATGACTACATCTTAACTCAAAAGTCCAGCTTTCAATTTCTTTCTATAGAAATGTAACTTTCATCACATGCGAGTAAAATGAGGGTCTCCGAAAGTGTGAAACGAAAATTTTGAATCTTTTCCATCTGAGTTCTGAAATTATGTAGGCCCGATTCTGACTCTGAATAAAATAGTTGACTATATTTGGCTGTACGAAGTAATTATTTGAAATTTTACGGGGGAGGGAGATGGGGGCTTGAGGGCTATGAGCTTGATGAATCCCTGGGTATCTGAAAAGATTAAAGAGATGTGGCTAGGTGCGGACCCTCTCCCCGAAAATTTTTTGAGACCTCCACTTCCTCCTGGTGACAAACCATTTCCAAGTATAGGAGATTTATCACAGCAGAGACAGCTTGTCATTGCGGACGCTGTTTGCGTCTCTCTGAACAAGCATTCTTTCGTTCCTCTCACCGTCTGCAACTCCTTGCATACACGAACTGTCTTGGTTGGAAGCAGTGGCGTCGAGTCTCTGCGGGCGATGTGTTGTCTATACGTCCTACTTTGTGTTGTCTACATCTCTACCTCTCCTCCCAAAAAATTTTTGAGACCATCACTATTTTTATTTAGAAAAATCATTTTCAGGTTCTTCTGCAAAATCCATCTACGCGTACCTCTGAAGGAAAAGATTGCACGAATCGAACGTGCTGCTCGAATGCTCGAGAGGAACGCGAGCCGAGAGCAGGAAGTAGTGCCAGAAAACGGTGTGATTGAGGAATCACCCATCACTGAACAACCTGCGATGCCAGTGTCGAGGTTGGGCTAAATCTGGCGACAGTTTTTTGGTTAAATGAGTTTTGCTTCAGCGAGGCTCCAGCACACAGCGCAACGCTGAGCTTCTTCTCGCCAGAGCAGATCAGAGACAGAACTGTACAGAGGATGCGTGAATCTGTGGTGAGCTAGTCATTTTGAATTCTCTGGGCATTTAGTGATGCGGCGCCGTTCGCCCAGATTGAGTTAGCCGAACCTTATTTAAGTAATCGCTCAAATCCCAATGCAAATGGTGAATTCCGAAGCGAGAAGATCGTTTCAGAATGTAGAAGCGACCAAGGCGGCTCCGCCCATCAACGTGGGTGGTCTGAAGATAATGAGTTCGTATGTGGACTTTAGGGTAGAAAATGTCTGAAATCTCATCATAATGAAGGGCGGATGAAGGCTGGTCAACTCTAGATACTTCAGAGCCCGATTTTGGAGTTGGTTATCTTCAGATCATCCGCGTTGGTGGGCGGAGCCACCTCGGCCGCTTCAATCTTCTGGAGGATTTTCTCGCTTTGGCATACATTCTCTGCAGCGAGAACTTTCGCGATTGCATAGTTAATGGCTCCGCTATCATATAGTACCAGAATCTCACTATCCTAAATTTGGAAGAAAGGGGCCTCAAAAGTCTTCATCAAAAAAGAGGGGCTTGATGCAAATCAAAATTAGCTGCATTCTAGACTGGACCCATTTCACCAGTGTCTGAAATACCAAGCGCTGACGAGCGCACTCCAGAAAGAGCGGAGTTCCGTAATCAAGTGAGGAAATCGAGTGTGGTAAGTGTTACGGTAGTTCTAGGGTAGACGAAACCTCATCGCTTTTTCTTTCAGCCTTCCACGGAAGCCAACCATGCTGCAGCTGAAGTCCCATCAAACTCGACTAGCTTTGCATCTGAAGAAGACGAGTACGATGATGCATGCTCGAGTTGCTCGTTGGCTTCTTTCGATGACAAAGGTGTCATGAATTTGATCAAATATTTTTGTGCAGAGACATGATGTGGACCTAAAATTTATTTTATAGATAATGAGGGTTCCGAAAGGCCTACCAGAGAAAGAATAGAAGACACGAGCGCATCAGAAGGCGAAGACGATGGGCTCGAAGAAGAGGAGCTTGAAGAGTTGGAGAAGACGGTGTTGCAGCTCAACGATGAAGATCCTGAACGTCCACTGACAGATGCGCAGGTAAGTTATGTTTCCTGTATGAGGATTATGATAAATAAAAATTCATCAAGCAACTTTATGAATATGTGACTACATGAATGGTAAATAAAACAAAAAAAGTGATAAGTAAAAAAGCGCGGATTTATCTCAAGAAACATGAGTATATAATAATCTTTGTTATACAAACTCCTGAAGTGCGGTTATACTTTGCTCTGACCGGTGCCACACGGCGACTAGGCGCGCTAAACTGCGCGCGGTGAATCGAGAACATCTGAATGAAAATTGATGCAATAATCTATGTCTGACCATTCATCCATAGTCAGTCTACTTATTCTGAGCCACCTTGTGACTTTTCGATATCCTGCATTTTCCTCGCAATCTCGCATGTGTCCATACCCATCCTGTAACTCGGATCCAAATCACAGAGTGAATATGACCGTTGGCATCAAATAGGGTGACGAACTATAAACCTCATTGCTGGCCAGCAGCAACGATACCTCTCTAAAATTGGGAGCAACAATTTTACCGAACAAACTTGTAAATTAGTGAGTAAAATAAAAACTGTTAGATGATATTCGAACTGAGCAGAGTTGCTTCAAGGTATCGGAATTGAGAAACACATTAGAGGTTTTTAGGTCATCTCAGTCATTAATAAGATCAACGAGCGGAGAGATTCGCAAATGACTACTCCAAGAGTCTTGTCTGAAACTCCTGACCATAAGGCGGTAAGAAAATTTCTCGTCTCTGAGCCTCAAAGGTTTTTTGTTCAAGATCAAAGAGGAAAAATTCTACACACCAAGGGAGAAATTCTTCCGGAACATGGCTGGCTCAGCTGTTGACAGCCATGATTCTGCGCCTAACGCTAATCGTACAAATAATGTGGAAGACAAATTTTCGACACCGTTGGCTGTACCACCGGAGGCTTGGGATATCAAGAAGGTACTAGTTTGAGCCCACATTCAATTTTCTCAGGCAGTATCCAGGCAATGTGTTTTCGTGGGAAGTGAGAGGAAGGTCGGAACTAGATCATTCTCCAAACGGCAGTCTTATAATTTATTCGTGCCCAAGAGAATTTTCAGATTTCAACCTAGACCTATTTTCAGCCGTATAGGAGAGATTCGCTGGAAGGAGTACGGTTTGGACTCGGGCTTAGAAGACAAACTTACAGCCGTATAAAACCATAAATCATATCTGGACTGTCGTTTGAATAATGCTCTAGTTGAGGTTACCGCTGTACCGCTTAGGAATCCAGATAGTATTCAGAATTACCTGGACACTGCCCTCAAAATGTTAAGAATTTCTCATCGCATGCATTGTTTCAGAAGAAGGCAGCTGACTTAGAGCGGTTACGCGTCGAATCTCGGATGAAGGCAAAACTGAAGACTGACGAAGAACTAGGATTAGGTTTGCAGTTTTCATTTTTTTAATGCAAAATTCTGTTTCGTTATTGTGAGTGTTAAAGTGTTAGTTCCCACGAATGATTTACTGCTAGTTTTTATCGACATTGCTTGTAAAGTGATCTAACTGACTCTCATTTTCAAGAGAACTTTTTTCGATATTTTTTCTGATGGGATTGATTCGTCTTTTTTGTTTGAATTTGCATATGCAGATTTGGATGATTAGATTGTAATTCCAGCGAAATCCGGCGCTAGAATACACAACATGCCTGTGATCAAACTACCAAAACCAGTTTCACCACCAGCTCGGGTAAGTTCAATGTACTGATTTTGTGTCTTAGTTTTATATGTTCGCTTATTCTCCGCTTTGCAGGCTCGTGGTATGTCAATGACGAACGAGCCTACCAAGTCGCCAAGAGTGCATCGTTCATTGACGGTGGGCGCCTACGATGCTCCCAGTGTTGTAGAAATGGTAAGTGAGATGTAGTATGTTTTAGATTTCGTTACATTTCCTTGGCGAAGATGCCAAATATGGTGTGGGGATTTCATCAAAATGATTTAGCCTGGACAAAGTAGAGAGCCGGAACCCTTGGAACAACAGCAGCGAGGCCGTCCGGCCCTGCCACGATCTCGAGTTCAGGGCCTACTCACACGCCTGTTCAGCCCTGATTCCAGAAGATTAGAGCCAAGGGTATGGCGTAACAGACTTGCTCTACAGCTTGCATTTTATTTTTGTGTTCATTTTAGGCTGGACAATCTAAAAGCCCATCGAATAATGCCGATCGAATTCATTCGGAAAGCCGAAAAGAAACCAGCATGCTTGGTAGCACATTCAGACGTTTCAAAATGAAACGAGAAGAACACAGAGGTAGCGCTTTTGTTTTCATTTCCTGTAAAGTTTCTTCATTTGTGTGATTGCACATATTTTGAAAAACACTAACGCAAGCCTATGAAGACTTGGTCATAGTTCAGTAGATCATTAAGTAATTCCCCCTGTATTGACGACGACATTTGCGCGAGGACATCTGCTTATGAATAGGCGGCAACTTCTTTTTAGAATGCTTATAGGGTTGAGCAGAGACATTTCACGCGCAAACGTTGTCGGCGATGCAAGAACACATTATTGACGAATCAACTGTCAACTCTAAGGCCCCGGTCAGACTTCACGCGACTTAATCATCACGATCTAATCGCCAAGATTTCCATTCATTTTCATTTCACATTCAAAAATTTCGGGCTGGAAAAGTATCACAACCGAATGCAAGTTGATCGGCATGGAATGATGTTGTAACAGTTGTCTCGTCGCGATTCATTCGCGACGATCAAATCGCGTGAAGTCTGCCCGGGGCCTAAGAACTATGCGTCTTTGCTCTACTTCTGGACAGCTTGTAGCACCTTAAACTTAAACTGTACTTGGAACAATCGTGCAAAAACAAGTGAAAGCAAGATTGCTTAAGAGAATGAGGTTAAAGTGCTCTATCGTCAACCTCGCAATTTTGATTGTGTAATTACATAGACACGTGAATAGCGAATTTATTTTGAATCTGCAAAACACTGGCTAAATGATGCCTGCTTTTTTTTCCGCAGCTTCATAATGATCTTCATCGTTGGGGCCATTAAATATGTAGTCGCTTGAATCTTCGATCGTATAAGTCAACGTTGAGTATTATTCTAATGTCAGAAGTTCAGTTTAGTTTCCTAATATCCCGAACTGAGTTTTTTTTTACAAGAAAATTCCTACGAATAATTCATTGATTTTTTTATCAATAGAAAGTCCAACGTCATCAGCGCGCAGTTCTCCTTGCACGTCACCAAATCCACTAGTGTCGAATGTAGAACAGGATAATCGAGATGTGCCATGTGCGGCTGTTGCGCCGTCTCCGCGATTTGAAACTGGTTAATTTTTCTTCCTTTCTGTCAGTCTTTTGTGTAGTAACCCCTTTATCTTGTAGAGGTATGCCATTCTCCAACGCATATTTCCGTAAATGAGCGGAATATACGACTATTCCAAAAGCGCGCCGAGAAGATAAGGAGGTTTGTTTGATCATACACAGTCTATGTGAACGGAGATATAGTTTTATCATTTAGACAGCATGATGATGAGCGACGGCGCAGCGCTCAGGAAATACAGCGAGGCCTGCAAGAATGTGAGATTCGTCTTGAAGAGATCAGATGCAAGGGGCAATCGCTGGAGATGAAGCTACTTGAAGGTGGATTTGATTTGATTTGATTTTTTTTTTGCGTACTCATCTTTTTGCGTACATACCACTAGTAGAAATGACTGCATAACTTATCTTCTAATGGTTTCTCAGTGAAGGCCTTCGACATTGGCCTTTCCCAACAAAATGCATATCCAGAAGGTCCCAAATTGCTGATTACAAAACGATTTTCTTTATCTGTTAAGCGGTTTATTAGGCGAAACCACAGATATATGTTTTCTCTCAACACGAAGCCTAGTAGCTTGCGATGTAAGACCAAGGTAGCCCGTAGCGCTCATCTTTACTGTTTGCTTTTCACACATGCGTCAAGTACATTTGAAACGGCTGTGGATGTATTGAACAAATCCAGCATTCAATGCGATATTATCCACACAATTTTGTAATATGAAATCTCATGGTATAAAAATGAAGGCAGTGGCTCGGCAAAACGAACACCACGAAATTTGTATATCGAGGGTTGCTTGACCCAAGCACGAGAATGGAGCAGGTCCGAGCGCACAGCATGCAACCCCTGCCTAGAAAATTGCCCCTAAACCCGTGCGCGCGAGCCATTCTTACGGGTGAAGGACTATATGTCGCCGAATTTGGAAGAGTCTCGCGCGGATTCCCTGCAGGAACGCATGTCCGCGCATGTACAAGAGTGCGTATTTGTCGCAAATGACTGCGGGGACCGCCCTTTTTCGGCGATATATAGTCCTCCACCACATTCTTACACGCGCTCGGACGAGCTCGTGATATCCCTCACGCCGTCAGAGGCGGCATGCCGCTATGCTGTAAAATGAGGGTCCCACAGCGACTCTGCGTCTCTAACCATGGTGGGAAGCGTTCCACTCGTCCAAATTCAAAATGAGGGGCTTGGGAAATGGTTTTCGCCATTTTCGCGCTCTAAAAAGTGGACTTCCGGAATCAGCGCATCGAGTTACCCCAGGTAAGCGAAAAAAGCAAAGATCGAGGATTTGCAGAGCCATTGCCTTTAACTTTGTTCAGTGAAGCGTTTAGCGGGCACGAAAGGTCGTTATGTAATCAGCGTTCAGAGGTTCCAGTTGATATAGGTACATCGTGTTAGAGATGGTCTGTTCGAGTCAAATGCCTTCCCTTGTCATATCACTTGGTGCACCTCATTTTGATATCAATATATTTTACTATTTTTAGATCCTGAGAATGGATGGGCGATGGAGTCGTGGTTTGCTCTAGTACATGAACGTGAGGTATTGAAATGCAAAGAAGAGATGCTTAGGTTAAGCAAGAAAGAAATGGAGCTTGAGGTCAGATCTCATCAGGTTTACGTTGAGTATTTTTTATTGCGTTGAAGTGAATTTTGCAGGTGAAATACCGAGACTTGAATCTTCGTTTTAAACGGTTGGGTGAGGGTATGAACGACAATCTTGCGGCTAACGTGAGTCTCGTTTTTTTTGCATTAGGTGCATGTCTATTTTCTGTTCTTTGGTTAGTCTTTTTTTATTCCTTTTGAATACTTATGAGGATTATTTTAGAGTGAACTGCTGGCTGCAATGTTAGCCGTGGTTGAGGAAAAGAAGGAGGTCAACAGGCTAAGCGAACAAGCCAAACAAGCCTATAAGAAAGTCAATCCGTCCATACAAGCAATGAGAGAAAAGGGTCGCAACTTTCAGAAGTTCAAGCCAATATTCTCTTGTATGTAAAAATTTAGTAAGTATACTTTTCTTTTCTCTTGCAGTTTCCGTTCTCGATTTAACTTTCATATTCATACTCTATTTGTTCTATAGAGCGTTTTTGCTGCCCAGAAAGACTTATTTGAACTGTGTTGATGTTGTAGTTTGATATCGAATACACAGTACTTAATGTTGTTGCTCATTTGGTTGTTTTATGGCTCATATCGCTTTAGATTCTCCAAGAGTTGATGCTTTCATTTTTCTGAAGCAAGATCTTGTTGCTTTCAGTATGCTAGTCATCAATGTTTTATTGAGATTTTGTAATGTTGTAATATACGGCTTTCTCTAATAGATGCCCAAATGCAACTCCCAGTTTAATCAATATTTGTATTGATATGCTGCTTTGAGTCATGAACATTTGATGTACCGTTGTTTTTGAGTTTTGATCTTGGAGGTGTTCGCACGCCTTCCTATTATGCAGAATAAGAAGATTAAGGGTAATGTTTTCAGTTTAGAAATGGCTGCTAAGAAGAGCAGAAAACAGCGAAAATACCAAATTAAACATAGGAAGAAATTACTGGCATCTACCGCACAGTCTAACAAGCCCGATGGCGAACCTGAAAAAAGCGTTAGCAATGATTTGCCGGAGGAAAATGCGCAACATACTTATTTTGATGACAATGATGAGAACGTTGGAGCAAAAGATATCATAAATGGCATATCAGAAGAATCCAGTAAACTTGCCAAGAAATGCACAAAGAGACGACATAGAAAGCGAGCACGTCGCGTATCCACCATTTCCAATGGGAAACGACATAAAGGTAAGAATGCTGGGATTTTATATGTTACTGGTAGACGAATAAGGAAAAACGAGTGTCTGGCAGGTTGTGGCGAGTGGAGTAGTTCTGGGGGATACAACAATCTGTGTCAACTTATTTTCTTTTCCGTTGCAATTACGCATGCGCGCGCTTGGGCAATGCGCAGCGGCAAATTTGAACGCTCAAACCGTATGCCTGCAAACGCCGCACGGGACTGTAGCGTGGCGCTTGACTTGATCCGAAATGCACATTGACACAGACTGTGATTTGTTGAAAGTCGATGGTTGATGTAAAAGACATGTCTTAAGGTGTATGTTCTTTGATGCATAGCGTGACTTACTTTCGCTGCATATTTCGCTGCTCCAGGAATTTTGCAAATCTTGCTGTGAATTCAAACTTTAGCTTCCTTAGTGTTCCATAACGTGCGAGTGCAAATCATGGACTCACATCACCAAAGTCGGTGATGTGAGTCCATGATTCCGTTCCCTTGGCTGTGGTTTCGCTAGATAGTAGTTAGGGACAGTGGGAATCTCGTTAATCCATTCATGCGCGTCGTTGCCCGAGTTTCTCAATCATTGCCGTTTGCTGCGGTGAGAGTTTGCATTAAAAAAAAACGTTCGCGAACGCAGCTTTGAGGACGGAACAGATTTGGCAGTCTGCAACTTTCAACTACAGTATTTTGGCGCCATGTACAGGGTATTCGTGGCGGGTCTTTTTGTTTCAGCCAGTTCGGAGATTGTCTCCAACCGTTAACGAATCAAACTTGCTGATGAGGGCTTTTACGCTTTATGGATTACAAAAGGAGCAAGTATAAGGATAGTGAAAGTTGGGTCTGGTATACGCGCACTAAAACACTAACGTAGAGCGATGACAAAGTGAAAGTTGGACGATGTTCTAGGGTCGAAGAAGATTATTCGTTTTCCGAGTCATTGCTATTTTACCTAGGTACAGTCGAGTAGGTTTTCCGCTCAATATAGTGTGCTTGCACAGTTTATGCAATGCGGTAAAATTTGCGCGTGAACAAGAAGCTGCGCCAGCACTGCCGGCAGTTTGCGTGCGCAATTGGCCGGCGTCATAGTCGAAGCTAATTACTCACGCGCAAATTTCACCGCATTTCACCTTCCGTGCAAGCGCACTATATTAAGCGAAAAATCTACTCGACTGTAGCAGCAAAGAGATTTTGGACATGTTACCACTGATCAGACTTCGTAAAGCACGAGGTCACCTCTTTATGACGAGCGTCAGTCACATCAAGAAGGTTCAAAATTGTACTTGTAATCAGGTGAGATGTTACAGAACTACATGAAAAATTAAGAAACTATCGTAAGAGCATATGTAACAACCCAACGATAGCCATCCTTTCTCAGCAAACACAGTTTTGTTGGCTTATCAATCAAACTAATAGCGGCGATCACTGTTGAGGATATAGCGATATATAGCGATAGGTTTAACATCATGGATCGCTGTGTAATTGATTATTAGACCGCTTTGGCTCTAGGCTACTATCAAATTCTCGGAAATATTATACTGAAACAAGTTTGCTAGTGATTCTGGACTGGTACTGCTGCAACTCCCTTACAGCATAGGCCATAAATCCCTATCAATGTAGCATACTGTTTTCACTTATACATTGTGGTTCTCGTTAGGCATAAAGAGAAGTTCGTTCACATCGCATCCCAACATCAGTACTTGATGAATAATTTCATCGTCAAAACTCTTAGTTCCCCTTGCTGATGTTGCCGAAAAGCAGCAAAATGGTTAATGAAAGAATACATCTACTGCGAGTGACAAGAACGATAAGTTTTGACAAATTCCTTGCATAGCTATCTAAGTATCCGAGCTTTGGTGAATAAACCGTGAAGAAATCAACAAAAGATGCCCATTGTATCGTACATCCCCCAGAGTTGTTCCCCTGGATACTACCAACGTAGCTGCCCTTCGTTCGTTCTAACATGTAAAATTCGGATAAGCGCTCAAATTTGCTGGAGACAACGTTTTGAAACGATTGAAAGGCAGCCACAATGGGACCTACCCATGGAACAATATTGAGGGATGCACCAGATATTGTCTGCAACTCACTTCAGATTTCATGAAGTCAAAACAATGCTAAACAAAACAACTCACCAGCTTTGACCTGCTATATAGTATCTATAGTAGTGATCATTTGTTTCGACCTCATTAGCCCTCACAGAACAACGACTTGAAAAAAAAGAGAAAATGACTTCACTAAAAACATGCATTTTCTGACCACTAATTAAACATTAAAGCAAATGCATGCATCTAGATTCAGTGACGGCTTCGATCTACATGTCGCTACAACTTTTTGCGAGCACGTCTGGACCAAGTGATTTGGGCTGATGTCACACAGGAAGGATATGCCTCCCCTGCGCCACTCTTATCAAACTACTGCGGCGGAACCTCCTTCAGCCCAGTAGGAATAGCTGATGGCGGATGGTGCAAAACTTCATTCTCAAAGGACTGAGACACTAATGGTCCCGACACGAATACCCTGTAAATGGCCGCCTTATACTGTAGTTGAAAATTGCAACGACTGCCAAATCTGTTCTGTGCTTTGAGGCGGCCGCGAATAACCGTGTTGCTGAAGTCAGGACACTCAAGTTGAGACCGCGTGTAGTCAGCCCAGGATCCCATCTTAATCCCACAGTGCATCTGTATTTCAGGGTGGGCATGGCTTGCAATGTCAGATAATCTCCCTGGAAATTTCATAGCGAAAACTTAGATTTTGACCTTGAACCTTGGCCATACTTCACGCGATTCTAGTCGCTGCGCGATTTGGCAATACTCCAATTGTTCATAACTCATCGTGCACGCATTCCAAATGTGCACGGGGGGCATATAACTACGAAAGTTGTACGGACTATGATTTTGCGGTCTACCATTGTTGGACTTAAAGACGGGCAAATTACCAGATCGTGTGGCGACTGAAATCGCGTGAGGTATGGCCAAGGTCGTACACCGTACGATTACAGTAACTTCGTAAGAGGTTTTATTATGTGGAGTAAAGAGATCGTGATCAGCATGTGACCTGACCCCGTGGGCAAAGTTAAAGCGAGAATTCATATTTCTGATTGTGTAACGTGGAAGAGTACGGAATGATAGTGCGCCTGACACTCTGCTTTTGAAGGAGATGGCGACGCAGTCGGATCTAGCGAGGAAGTCGTGGCATCCGACGTCGAAATTGCTGCACCCATCAAAGTCGCATCAGCTGAAGTCGCGGTTGCTGTAGCCACTACAGAAACCGCTTCAATCAATGCAAATGTTGATGCATTTGCTATAGAAATTTCTTCAAGCAATGCCGCAGCTGCTGCATCTGCCGTAGAAATTGTTTCAAGGTCTTCACGCAAGCAAAAGCAGAAAGTTCAAGGTTCGTAACCAAATATATTTCTGTTTCTTGCTTGAAATTGCATTTAGGAGACGTTCAAGAGACCAAGAGTATATTATCAGCCGACGTGAAACGATATTTGATAAAGTTACTAGCACCGACCCCTGCATTTATGAAACTGTCGATTTTGAACCATGATTGGCGAAGGCTATGCCTCGAACAAGCCGGGCGATGGTCGAGAAGTGGTCTCACCGTTGATGTCGCTCGCTTCTTCAGCGATAACGTTAGTTTTTTTCCCTTTTTGTTTTCAAATATGTAGGCAGTTCATCGCACGCAAAGAAAGGGCGCTACTACGGACATTGTCGGTTTCTCGGTGATCGAACGCTCTCTCATCCCTCTTACCGTCTGCTTCTCTACCACGCACGAACTATTTAAGCTGGACGCAACTGGGTGTATGTCAAGAGGCGCGATCTTTATTGCCAGCTGGACACCAAATAGCACATATACAGGGCTCCTAAATTGCAGAGTCGTTTGCACCAGCGGTCGCGCGACCGCTGGTGCAAACGACTCTGCAATTTAGGAGCCCTGTAAGTGTATTACAACTTTCTAGGAGTATATGAAACATAGAAGAAGATATGATACTTGTATTGGGTTGTTCAATCTCAATAATTTGGAAAAACTCAAAACAGCGATTTTGAAGGTCAAAAACCCATGAGAACTCGTTTGACAAATTCGTAAATATTTCAGTCCGTTTCATAGCCAAAATCATGGAACTTAGCAAGTGGTGACCTCAGAGAGATAGTAAGCTAATTCACTTTATCTGGTATTTTTTGAAGATCGCATGGCACTAAATTGGGGTTTTGAGTTGATGGCAGCCGGAGAAAACGCGCCTCTTGACCGTCTTCCGACGCATCTGCGTCCAGCATCTGCGTTGGAGAATACCGTATACTTTACTGAGCAGTGGATTAGTGTATGCATGCAAATCAGAGCGTGACGGCGGTGCGATTTCGACGTTTTATCTAGGTTTCTGTCAAAAAAGTCTTTTCCTGGTTTGCTCCTCATTTCCTCGAGCTATTACTTGGAAATCAGGCTTAGAAGCTGGAACCTACTTCTGCTTAATCTAAAACTGGAGATATTCTTGCGTTCAGTGACACTCGCAGGAATTTTTTTGGCTGGAGAGGGAGGAGGAGAAGCCACAAATTCGTTCTGAGAGGGGGAGGGCCCACTTCTCTCAGAACGAATCTCTGTTGAAGTTTCTACGAAGAGTTCCTTTGCTTGCCGAGCTTGCAATCTGAAATTATGAGAGGAGGGATTCAGCGACCGTCACGTCGTCAAAAAGTCATTGAATCAGGCCATTATAGATTTTTCACAGATTAATTGATGGCATTTGTCTATAGCGAATTAGAAACAAGTACTTATATATTATTGTAGCTTATGCATTTGTTGATGATAACGCGATCTACCCCTAGGAAGGGGGCGGGGGCAACGTAGGTCAGTGTTGGAAGAGTATCGTCGCAAATTCCATTGCTGAATTCATAAATAATGTTGCACACGAATTGCAGAATCCATTCGTGCGTACATTTGTGGAGGGAGACGGTAGAAACATAGCGAAAAGCTTTCACGATGATGTTCGAAAGCTGGTGAGAGCTTTGGTCAGATTAGCCGAATTCAACCCTAACAAAGCTGGGAGCTCCAACTTGAAGCTGGGTAAGGTTTGATTGAATTCACTAATTGCTTGTTTTCTTTTCTTTTTTTTTGTTCTGCTAAAAGTTTTATCGACTTTCTGTCGCATTTCCTAAGAGGATGTTTGCTTTAGCCAATTTTACGCCCTCAGCCTTGGGTTGGTTCCATACCTATTCTGAGGATCAACTTCCACAATGTCCTTTGATATTGCGCGAGAAAATACGAGATCTCTTCCTGCAACACTTTAACGGGTACGACTTTTTGTAAATAATCAGTCTCGTACAGAACAATTTTGTGTTAAATTTTTCTTTTGATTGAATGGACGCAAGGGAAAAGGAGGGTGGCGAAAAATTTAGGCAGCCTTGAGTGTCACTCGTGTGCCGGCCAGCGCTATATGTACTAATCCTGCGCCGTGTTTGCACCCTTTGCAGGGCATGTAATACTGATTCCGAATATGCTTCTAGTATCTGCTGCGGGTGATTTTTTTGGAGCAAGAATCTGAATACCATGAATATTATGAAATTAGTTCTCAACTCCTCCTTGTGTATGCATGAGGCAGCGGCGAGTGAATATATTAGGTTGTCCCCGAAAGTTTTGTTTGTTTTTTCAACCTGTCATAAAAATACGTGGAACAAAGATAGGGAAACGCTCTAAGCACTACCCGACGCATCTTTTCCTCCTCTTTCTAACTATCATAATCTTGTGCAGATTACTCTTTTGCTCACTGAGATAAACGCCGAAATTTCGAACCCATGGTTTTTACTATGTCCAAGTTTGACAATTTTTACAATCTTCATTTTCAACTTTTGGAAGACCTTTGATAGCCCTCAGATAGAGTTAGCAAAGGGCAATGCAATGCAATTATTTGGCATATCTAGCTGGCTTTTCAATATTTTTAAAGGTAATTTTTTCAAAAGTCTTCATTTTTGCGAAATTCTAAAATACAGAAACGCCTCGAACACTGACAAATCATCGGATTTTGAAGCTTTCAATAACCGATTACGATTATTCACTATTTTTACGAAGCAAATGAGCGTTTACCGCTTCGAAATATAAGATTTTGCATTTTACGTGTACACGCTGGGGTGGGGTCAAATTCAAGAATTATGAAAATTTTATCGCCAAGGACCCCGCAAATTGGCGAGAAAATACGCTCACTGGAAAGAGGAGGAAAAGCTGCATCGAGTAACACCTCAGTTGTGCGCCATTTCATGATCTCTGGCTTTTGGCATCACCAAAAGTGGAATTTGATAGCATCAGAAAATGATTCTAAAAAATTTTCAAGGCTGACTAGAGATGCCGCAAAATTGCATTATGTTGCCCTTTGTTTGCTCTATCTAACTTTTGCCAAAGCTTTTCCGAAAGTCAAAAATAAAGATTGAAAAATTGCCAAACTTGGACGTAGTAAAAACCATGAGTTCGAAATTTCGGCGTTTATCTCAGTGAACAAAAGATTAATCGGCATGGAAGCATGACAGTTAGAAAGAGAAGAAAAAGATGCGTCGGATAGCGCTTAGAGCGTTTCCCTATCTTCGTTCCACGCGTTTTTATGATAGGTTGAAAAAACGACAAAACTTTCGGGACAACCTAATATTTGAATTGAGAATATTTATTGCTTAGAGTAACATGACATTCAAGCCCTAGGAAAATATAGGACTTTCATCCTAGTTTCGCATTCAAATTCTGGCTCAGAAAAAGCTGCATAACTCCTTGTTCTGAAACCGGAGCAGATAAGGAAAGCAGAAATGATGTCAGCGTTTCATGCCCTTCAAAACAATGTGCATCTCATAGTGAAACTCCACTTTGGCTAAGCATCCTTTCCATGTTAGATGCGCCTCGTATAATGGATTGAAATCTCGGCACGGCGCTGGCACCGGCAACTCTGAAGACAGCCTAAGGAACTTGCAGTAGCCATCACAGGCCATTAAAAATCGTTTTCATCAGTTCATAGGGTCTTTCAGGACATCCACTTATATATACTGTGAGCCATTGCTTGATTCTGCTATGTTTATCAACACCGTGTTCCATGCCCAAGATAAAGTTACCATATTAGACCTTGGGGAAATTACGGTATCGCTTTCGTTCATTCTATCAACTACATAAGAAGAAAAGATATTCAGGGTGGGCAAAGGATACTGCAGTGCACATTGCCGAATTTGGAAGAGCTTGTGTGGCACAACGTTGATATGGATCATCTCTTGGTAAGTACCTTTCCCATATCTCACTAGGGAAGGATGCCGAGTTGCACTGGAGTCCAGCAAGATGATATACATCATCACCCTTGGCGACACCAAGCATACATTTTTTCCAAATTTGCGAAACGGTTCTATGAAAGAAGTTAGGATCCTTGACTCTGCACCTTTGGCCTTTCTGCAGTTGAATCGAATGCGAGTAATGATGCATCATTGACAGAAAAGCTGATTGATTGGTAGAGTAGCGGACTCTCAGCCATAAGGTATTGGGTTCGAATCTCGTGTGTACCCTTCGCTTTTGCGTTTTTTGCTGACTTTCTTATTTTATCTGACTATCTCAAATAACGAATATCAGTGATATGTTATGATTGCTTTTGGAAACATACAGCATTAACGGCACATAATTAGTTGTTTTCGCATGTAGAAGGGCAAAGGTTGTAAAAAAGGGATCCGTAAATTTTTAAAAAAACCGAAAGAACCAAGTTTGGAAAGCGGATATGCTATCAATGTCTCATAGGGATTATAATGGTCTAGATTTTCTTGCTAGTCGCCAGTGCGACTTAGTATCCTTTACAAATCAGACTAGCTCAAGCAAGTCCTGAAGTTTTCTTTCAAGCTTGTATTTCTTCAGAAATCAGAGTTTCCAAAACTGCGCTCACTGTCGATAACTGCGGAAGCGATATCGGTGCATGGGTTTCAGCTGTTGTATAAATGTCCCAGCGTGGAAACGCTGTATACGGGACTGAGAGTTCCAGATAATCCGTGAGTGTGCTTGGACTGTTTATTGTTTTAGAGTTTCGCCACTGTGAGTTAGGCAGCGTCCAGGCTTGCCGTTGTATGGCGCTGTATCTGAGCGGACGCAAGTATTCATTGACGACGTTCTGGCACGGCGCTGGCATGGGCAACTCTGAACGTAGCGTGACTTGTGGCGCTGCTCCGATCCATTCAATTCATTACATTCAATCACGGATATTTCACATTCAGAACAAGGTTTGATTTGGACGTGTTGTTGCGATGCTATCAGTCTTTCTGGAACTCGGCATCATCTGCAGAGGAAGAAGAGGCCGAAGGCGCAGAAACTAGAAAAGGTGGTTATCAGCTCACTAAGCTACCAAAGCTTACCCAAGTAGGCTTTTGGAACGCACCAGAAAAGATAAAGTTAGTAGTTAGTCCAACGCTTCTGCATTCTTTCGTTAGCATTCAAGCTTTACAATTTATGGTTGTTGATTCTGTCTACCAATGCTCCGATCATGTGTAAGACTTATTCTAGTTATTCTCCATAATGGCTCGATGTGACATCGGTTTTGAAACTTTGCAATTTGGGCAACTCAACCAAGCTTTGACTCGATTGTGTTCGCTGGATTCAGTAATGCAGGTCAGAATACCACTGTTGCTTATGTCAAAATCAGCTTAGTTCTGCTTTTCAGGCCTTATTCATGTTCAACCAGCCAAAGTATGACTGCTATAAGCTGAGCGTAGATCATTTGCGGGTAAAGTTTGTCTGTGCCGAATTCATACTCAGATGTAATTTGAATTGTAGATGTATTTGCACGCAATGCCCGTTGTATCATTAGACTACTATCTGCCTCAGTTGATGATGGGTATCAATGATGTAAGCAATTAGACGATCAGCCGATTATAAATTCTCGTTTTTTTCAAATGTTGACCCTTCTAATAATTTAGGCTTTGTGCTCCATTCAAAGCCTCGCTCTATTTATCCACTGCTCATTTTCGGCTACAATGCCATCTTCGTGGGTATTAGACGGCCGGTTCAAAAACTCTCAATCAAAACTCAAACGACTCACTCACTTCTCACTTCATATAGATAGTTTTTGTGTGGTAATGATCTGATTTTGTCTGTATATTTTCCTTTTGCGTAAAAATCTTTGCAGTTTGACGATCTCGACTGTCACCTCCCTCCTTGTCTTACCTGTATTTCGATTTCTGTGATACTTCCTACCATTGGAGCATCAAAGTCAGTCTCTTCACTTTTAGCATTCATTAAGCGGCTGGCCAATGTAAATTCCTATCCCGATCTTGAGGAGTTGCACCTACAGGTAAATGTGTGATGGCATTGAAGTCAGTGGAAAAGCTCTCTAATTTTAGGTTTGGGGCGTCCGATGTGCTGAAAGTCTTCTCAATCAAGTAGCCGATCACCTTTCGGATATCAGAAAACTTAGCGTCATTGCTATGCCGGTGGACGAGCAGAGAGATCGTCTTATAGATCTAGTCAGGCATGTTGCAAGCTCATGCCCACGACTGGTATCGCTTCAACTAAGCGCAGACATGACGCGCTTGCTGGTGGATGAGTATGGAGGTAATTCAAGATTTCAACAAGATTGTCATTCGGTAAATCTGCTAAACTTTGAAGAGTCGCCTGCGTTTTCGCTCCTATTTTCTGTCTTTCGATCATTACCTTTTTCCATACTTTTTGAATATCATTGTGTGGAAAAACTGATTTGAAAAATAATAGTTGTAAAGACACACATATGCTTTTCAGCTAAGATATTGCATAATCTTCGAACTGGTTTATTCTATTATCAGCGACTTGTGTTGAACCACCATAGATGAGCAAATCGCACCACACCGCTCTTGGACTTACCTTTCCAAAATCTAGATCTGTGGAAGACTAATTGGAGAGCTGCCATAGTCAAGCTGAGAGAAGAGTGTGGGATTCGAAATGTGTGCGAATTGGGTGTAGGTGTGCTGCCTGTAACCTATGGCTGGGATAAATACGTTGTCGCGCCTTGTTATCCTGAGGTAAGGTGCAAGCGGTACAAGACTTTGTTCAGCTGCGAATATTTTGGCATATTTAGGTAAAAGAAGCTAATTTTGGCTTGGATGCCTCTGATGAAGAGGAGGTAGAAGGGTTCCTTCTTAAGATCATTGTTATGCTTAAAATCAGAAATGTAGAATGAAAAGTTGGGTGGTCAGTCAGACGTTGACGACAGCTGTTCCAACGACTCCTTTGTCGTGGGTAGTGACGAAGAAGATGAAGAGGAAGGAAGCGAAGATGAAATAGATGAATGTGATCGTATGTTGGAAGAAGAAACGATACGACGACATGAGAGATATCTGAGAAGGGTAGGGAAGGAGCGTACAGGTTTTCTTCACTCCAAAAATTTGTCCTTCAGAAAGCTAGACAACCTTCCACATCTTCTGAAGATGCTGTGGAAGAACATCAAGAAGATGAAGATGGTAGCGATGTAGAGTGGGAGACCGATTATGAGGATGAAGAAGAAGACAGAGATCAGCATAATGTAGATATATGTCTTATTGGATGAATTGTCTTCTGCTGATGCATGCAGATTTTAGAACCCATTTGTGGACGGTGAAGCTGAAGAGGTTGAACCTGGAATGGAATCAAGCGATCAAAGCGATACCGAACCAGAAGGGGATGATATGATTGATGAGGAAATGCTTGAAGTGCTTGTAGGTTTTTGAGGTATTTCTTCTGTCCTGTGATACATTAGGAAAGAGACCTCATCTGAGTCCTTTGCCATGTTTCATGCTCAGAAGTAGCTAAAAAAGCGAAGTGTAAATGATTTGGGCCCATAGTTCTCTTGCTAATTGATAAGTCGTAATGTCACTGAAGGTGTCTTGGCAAGAAGTCATTTTGAGATTTTTTGCTTGAGGACCTGTTCGCCATGCTAAATCGAAAATTCATGCTGTAAAGCTCGAAGTGAAAAAGGGCTTCAACGCAGATGGGAAATCAACAAATGGGTGGGGTCTTCCACTTCGAAAATCACTTTCCCAGCTTTGGGAACGATCTTCCAAAATCCGCAAGCTGCCCTAAATCGCCACCGTTCCAACTTCCAAGTGATCTTCTCACTCCCGGCTTCAAATCTCGCGTGAACGCCGCCCCGCTCACCTGCTGCTTTCCCTCCTGCGATAGGGTCTTTCTCGTCGTTCGCGCTCTACCGTGTGGTTTTTTGGATTCAACTTAGCGAGTAGGGCCAGGTAAGCAAAAAAAACAACTCGAAATCGACCTCTTGCCTAGACACTCTTTAAGAAGAATATTCTGGAGTCGTGGTCATTCTTGCATGACGGGTGCAGAATTTCACAAGGAAACCGGCGACAAAATGTTTACTGGATGGAACTGCATGGTCTAGGAATGGTTTTACCAATTCTAATAAATATCTTTCTATCGGTGGCGCACCCGGGATTTCCGTTCGGGGGGGGGGGACAAAAATTTTTTTTGGATGATGTGTGTGCATGGCGTTAGCCATGCACTCCGAAAAATATTTTGGGATGCTACTCAAAATTTTCCCGGGCCCCTGACCCCAAAATTTCAGAAAAAGCCCCCGAAAAAATTCTTTTTACGCTAATTTGAACTTAGAATTTTTAAAAATTATTTTAATTATTCACAAGTGAAAACAAGTCCTCTGCACATTTTTATAACACATTTAAGTAACTTTCAAAAGTTTCGCGACCCATTTTCGGGAGGGGGGGGGGTTGGCGCCCTCCCCCCCTCGGTACGCCACTGCTTTCTATGAAAGTTGAGATACCTTGATTAGTGACAAAATAGTTCTCATGGAGACCGTTTTTAAAAAAACTTGTTGTCTATCGACACTAGGCTCTGAATTATTCTCGTTGTAGGTTCACGAAGCCCGATTTGAGGTGGTCAACGCACGGCCGCGAAGGTCTGTGCAGACAAAGAAAAAGATCAGAATAATTGGTAAATTTATCAGCTAGTGTTATTTTCCTTACTAATAGATTCTACGCTGTCAGGAAGGTAAAAACGAATTTTATGCTTTTTTTTTCAGAATCAGATAGTGACTGAATCATGCTCTTCCTGCTACGCTAGTTGTTATATGGTAAGTGCCTAGCCAGTCAATTGAAACTGAGGTAGACATAGAAACAGAACTCGGCAGGAGCTGGCACCAGTGAAATTTCGAAGTCTCCCTTGGCCCCAAAATTTTAGGAAGTCTCTTTTGACCCTAAACCCTGAACGTAGAAAACCCCCAGAAAAACGAAACGTCGATTGAAAAAACATCGCAATTTTCGTGTCTTTTCGGCCACAAAAACAATACATTCTTTGCTTTTTGTCCCAAAAACGACAATCAGCTTGACCCGGTGCCAGCTGGGTTGAACCCTGCATAGAAATGCGAAAAGATATTGAAAGTTCTGCCTTTTTTGTCTTTATTTGGCAGTTGCATCACAAAGAGAAAGGTAGCGAAGCTCTTAGGAATGTGTATTTGCTCACCAGCTAGTACTTAACTAGCATACTGAATGGGAAGGTCTCAGCTAACCACTGACCAAGCAGCAATTAATGTGATTGATCGTGGCCAAGAAATTACTACAGGCTCTGCCCAATACCATGCTCAAGAGCTAACTAGTGCGCTAGGAAGAGTACGGTATGTGGGGGAGTAGACTCCATGTTCCAAAGGCCTCGGGCGTAGTACGCGATTTCTTCGCCTCGCGATTCTTCCAATATGACAAGTGTCACGGGTTCATTGCATGCCGATTCTCCTGCATTTCGGTTGTAATAGTTTTCCGAAACGACTAATTTGTGACTAGTTATCACGACCGAAATGCGGGGTTCAATACGGTATGGACTCGTAGTAGTTGTCTTGTTGGGAGAATAGTGGGGAAATCGAGTGAACTATGCTCGAGGCCGAACATGCGGAAAATTAGCGACGCTTTGGGTCCCATAGAAAGTGATAAATACTATAATTTGTTTTTGTGTATGATTCTTTTGCCTGCAGGTTTCATATTTTATTCTGAAGTATAATATTAATTTCCTTACAGTTATTAAATTTGCTGTCAATGGGAGGTACTTCATCAAAGGCGAGAACATTTGCAGATTTCTCTGGTAAAATGCTCCTAATTTTCCTCGCCATAGAAAAGGCGTTATCCTGAATAACGCCTTTTCTATGGCGAGGTTTAAGTCACGCATTCGCTTCACGAAGGTTTTCCTCAAAAAAAAAAACACCCTTCCACAGTTTTGCTCAGATTTTGCGAGTTATCTCTGACGAAGTCGCTTGCTGGAGCAGTGTCCTTTCTTGGAAAGCGTCACCTCCGCCTGCAAGACCCAATTGCTCATATGCTTCTCTTTTCCAAAAAACAAACACTCGCAGATCAGATCTGTGATCAAATTTTGCGAATCTATGAAGCAAAGACACTCCGCGGCGTACTGCCATTTTTGCAAAGCGTCGCTTCCATGAGGGAGATTATTACGTAGAGGTTCTCTTCCCACAAGCAAAAAAGAAGATTCTTCCAAGTAGCTTTCAACCGATTTTGCGGACTGTCTGCGAAACTAATCACTTACCAAAATGTTCTTTTCCAGTTCACATATGTGCTTGTACGCATTGTTGTGGAAGAGAAATCCTCTTACAAGGACGCTGCTGTATTCGAATCTAAAGATTTTTTCTAGCATTGCTGCGAAACGAAATATGGCTGGTTAGAAATTGTCTTTGCCGATGCTCGTCAATACTTTTTGATAGTTCGAGTTTTCAGTTTAACGTAACCTCGATTTCAATCATCGCCTTAGCTAAATGAACAACTTTAAGTTTCATACTCTCATGCTTTGATTGTATCTTGTTCTTAGGCAGTTTCTTACGAGTTTGTTCAAATGTGATCTCCCTGTGGTTCATGTAATATTTTCTGTTAATTTTCCGTTTGAGTACTCCAAAGCAATAGTTCGGCTTGTATCTCATTGTGCATGTTGAGATAAAGTTTTTTTTTGTTAAAGGTTTTGCTGATGAAACAAGATCGTAATAACAAGTATTCAAGTGAGATATGGTCAGCAAGATGAAGAATAGTAGGCCAGTACAATTCTGATGCCTACTTCATGTTCATCTCTTTGTAAATCATATGGGTAGTGTCCGGACAAGGTTGGGGTTTGGTTTGGTATTCCAGTGCCGTGCAAGCAGCCATTGCGCAAGCTCGAAGCCATGAAATTTGACTAAGCAAGAAATACGGTCTGAAAGTCGGGAAACCTACGCCCTAACGGCGGGCTTCTCCATTTGTGGACTTCCTGCTCTGCGGCGATCACAACATAAAATTTTATATTCGAGAGTCCCCACTCTAGAATAACATCGCCGTTTTCACTCTCTTTGATGTTTACTTTCGGATTCAATGAAGCGGACTCCAGCTAAGCGAATTTGCTAGCGTTTTTGCCCGGACATTGCTCAATAAAAATTGCTTCATTTCCTGACTTTTTCGCTTAACGTATCTATGAAGTCGCAATTAGGGCCCAGCACGAAGTAGTATGATCGGCTCTCGTATTCATGGTGGTTGCCGACTTTCCCCGATTATAAGGATAGAGTCACTGAGAGTCACTGAGAGAGTGCGAAGAACAATGCTGAAATGTGGAGGTTGAACAAGTTTATTTTTATAATCAGGAAAAGTCAGCAACTCGCCTCCACACGAATCTGGGAGCCGATGTTAGGTAAATTTCACTTTGTTTTTGGGGCGCAAAGGTGACACTCCATCATTAAACATGCCGAACATCCCTACACTTCCCTCACAGACCCCTATACATAAGAAGGATGTGCCCTACGAACCGTTCACAGGTTGTCATCTTCAAGAACGAAGAACCTTACACGCCGTTCACCGACCCACACGCATAAAAAGGGTGCAGCCTAAGAATCGCTTACAGGCCGATATCTTTAAGGATGAGGAATAATCCTAAGTGCCGCTCACAGGCTTTAAAAGAAAGTCACAGACTTACACCCAAAAGGAAGATATCTCTTGCGAGCCGCTAGGACGAAGAATCCTACGTGTCGCCGAACCTCGTTATGGAAAAGTCATGCTCGCATAGAGCATTGAGCATAGAGCGCCGATTTGCCACCGGAAACAATTACCCCGACTTGCCTACCACGACATAACAGGATTACCTCACTTTATGTCCTCCATATCCACCAATCCAACAATCATTGCGGAACTAATCACTCTTTGACACTCTACCGATTACGAGTGTGGATACCACAGGGACGAACAGAGGTCAAAAAAATCATTCACCACTATTGTTTACCAGAGAATTAAGAAGAAGATTGGATACCGTATCCCACTTCTCACTCCACATTGCTAACCGAATGGAGTCGCACGAACAAACTTATGTCAAACTTCTGGAAAAGATGGACCACAGATATCAGTCGACATAAGCCTACCTTCCAAAAGGATTATAACGCGTCCAAATAACCTCATACACAAAATGGAATTGACTCCAGAAAATCCGGTAATCCTTGAGGAAGAAGACTCTTCCCAAGCGTCAACCACCCAGGGAACTCATCCAAGACAGCCAGTGAATTAGAGATTCAGTCACGATACCCATGATAACCAGGTTGAAGGCAAGGTTGCAAACAAACACTGCGCTTTTATGCTTCAGTTTCTTACCGCTAGTCGAGATTGCGAACGACGCGAAAGCTATAGCGGCGAAGCAATTCCCCTCTCAGAAAGAAAATAACGCTGCCCCGAAAGTCTCGACAGCCATAAGACAATACTATACGCAACTGAACGTATAACAAAAGGAGTTGCGTTGCACGACTAGAAACAAAGAATCTCCATTTTTGCTGGTTTTCATTTCTTTGCCCGCTTCCGAAAAAACACCCCATCGCTTGTGGAAAACGTGCAATATCCCACATGGTCCGTATCCTGCTCATTCAACAATATCTTGTCCAGAAAATCGCCATCAAAACCACAAACTTCCTTTCAATATCATCCAGATTTTATGTGCTCGTTCAACGCCTCTGTCTCTTGCGATTCCACAAAAAGGATAGAATACTTCAACCAAGTGCAGTTGTATGACTACAGCTGGTTTTAGTAAAATCTCTCGCAATCAATATTGTGGACCACATCGACAAAGACGACTTCATATGCATAGACAGGACCGAAGACGACGATCAGTTCACAAATTTATAACGGGTACGTCCCAACAAAAACCACGGTTGTTATCCGAAGGCCCGCTTCCTTTGTACCTACAACAACCCTCTCGCTCTACTGTTCTCAACAATTTATTCAACTTAAAGATTCCAGTCAAAGCTTGGAGATCCGTAACGAAAACCTATTATGGTTACTGCGACAACCGAACGACAATAAAACCAGCAAGCTCAACAGCACCTATTTTCTCTTTTGCGCCACACTCTACAGCCTCCCAGAACGATCTACCACTTACTATCAAATCCATCAAAGGAGGCATCTCATTTACCAAGGACTTCATCTATTAGGGTGAACGGTAAAAAATGGGACACTTACGAAATAACTGGAGGTTTCTCAAGAAAGAGAAGTGATTAGACATTCCAATTTTGATAGATGTTAGAATATGTTATTCTCTTTCAGATATTACCTATATAAGGTCATTTGCATAATTAATAATTTTTATGCTTGCTGAAATGTAAAGTTAGTCACTTCGACAAATTATGAACTTTGAGCAGTATCTGCGCAGTGAAACATGTGAGACCACCCAAAGTTTTACTGCTGGAGTGGGTGGTGGGACAGTCACCAAACCCAAGACGGCTTGGTGGCCTCAACGTTCAAAGTCAGGAGATATGGCCATTAGCAGCTTCGAGAACGAAGATACGCGTTATTCAATTCCTTCCAGGTGAACGCACGTTTTCTAGGTACCGTCTGATAGAGCTTTTTACGCTCTGTCCATCCATGTGCAGCTTGCCTCAGATTTTGTCTATTTTTGGAAAATATAGGGCAAAACATAATTTTTTGGTTTTTTGTTGCGCCAAAAATAGCTATTTTCCAGGTTTTTTCGCAATTTTTCCTGAAATTGAAAAGAAATCTTAGGCATTTAACATATCGTTTAGAAGAGCATGAAAACCTCTTTCGAATGGTATGTCATTTGCTTTACGACTTTACGGTATAGCAGTGCAAGTTTGAGAGTTGTTCAAAAAATCCTGTCGGAGTTCTTCACGACGCCGCGCGTATACGGTTATAGAGAGGAGCGGTAACGCGTTGCCAGAATAATAGGCGAAGGTCGATTATTTAAGCGACGTTTGAGCTGCAGCCTGCTTGTTATTGGTGAGGACAAAAAATCTTAAAATGTAATAGAAATCAAGCTGTCCCATTTTTCACCGTTCACCCTAATACAAAGCCATTGTGCCGTCAAACAATATTGCATTTTTTTCCAATTCTCAATCTCGAGAAGTAATATTTCCAAACTCAATCGTCCTATATGACTTTAAAGTCAACATCATAGTCTCGACTGAAACACAGTCTTATGAAGGAGAGACACACTACAAGGCTCAGCCATTATGCGAATTACTACAGTGCATATTCTGCTTAGAAAGACTGTACAACAGACAGTGTTGGTCAGTGTTAGAGGTGATGTATCTAGCACTTGCATTGCTACTCATCTCTGTCCTCTCACCTTGGCTCTTCCTTGCTGTAATGCTTTTCAAACTTCTCAAAAATTTCATTAATTTTCCGATGAAAACTTTCTACAGATGTATGCGGAGAATATTTACCTATCCACTGTATATCGAGACTTATCCGAAAGTAACGTCGTAGCATTTCGCCTTACGTCAGCAGAAGACGAAAATTCAAGGAGACTGAGGCAATGCTCAGCCTCCTCGTACTTTTGTCGAATCCGGAGCCCACTCGGGAAGGCTCTCAAGTTACGTCTCTAACCGCTCTTTGTTCTGTCTCCAACAATACGGAGACGTGTACATAATAAAACCACCCTTCTCACCCTACAACCCTTACAGTGGAAGACGTGTATCGCCCTCAAGAATCACCACAATCTGGTAATTACAGCGCTTTCATTCAAAATTGATAGCATACGCTACAAATGTCAGAAAAATTTATTTATTTATTTATTTATTCAATACGCACAAGGCGTGCCACATTTGGAACAAGTAAAACGAAATAGTAAGAACCTTACAGTAGTGAACAACCAAAAAAGAAAAAAAAATCCACCAACAGTCCAAGTCCAGCTTTCAGGTATGTAGGAATAAGGGGATTAAGCTTGTAAGGGTCTTGTATGATTGTATCAGTAAAATGCTCTGTGGAGTCTGCCTCATGCCCCCTGCTTGCAGCAAAAGTGCTCTTAGATTATTCAAATTTAGCAAATGTATTTGCGGGGACCGTATAGGTTGACAAATTTGCCCGACTGATTCTGCGGAGAGAACAGAACTCCGAGATAAGAGCTTATAAAATAAAATAATGAACAAGCCTAACAAGCTATTCCCAAGTAGCAACGGAATGGATGAACCGGACCCGAACCAGCATGTAAAGTAATGATCGAAACAATAAGCAAGTTGAAATTTCACGACCGCAAATATATTAATCTGAGAAGTTATCACTAGGAGACCTTCTACGCTATAAGTGGGAGATTGATAGAGTTAGTCAGATTATAGTACTGGAGCAGCCCAAGCGACATGCGAAGCAGCGAGCGTAGGAAAGTACGGCAGGCGAACGGCAGCACTATACGAATGATAACGAGAAGCAGTCATCTGGAAGAAAATCGGTCAAATTCAACTTCTTGAGTCTACGTTTGAAAGTAAGGCTATCTGGAGAAGACAGAATTTCTTTAGGTAAACACTGGAGATACTTTGAAGTGCGTGCAAAAAAACTGTTTCTTGATAAAGAGTTTAGTTGTTTCCGCCTACCATTTAGATGTAAATAAACAGAAAAATCAGTAGTCCCTCCGTGACTAGGCCTGAACACCCAGTATTTAGAAGGTCTTACAAGGAAAGGAAGGTTGGTCGAAGTGGCCTTTTGAGATAAAACTCACATCGTTTTGTAGAGCTTGGGACGCTGATTTCAAATCTACCTTTGCTATCTGCTGTGGGCTTCTGGGCGAGGAGTTATGAAGGTTTTTGTGAGTAAAAATCTGAATGCAAGAGCAGGCTAAAATCAGACGTAACATTTTTTATAGGGCGAAATTGGTAGTGGGGTCACTTGGTGCAACAAATAATCTTGGTTTAGATATACCAACTCGCTTCTGCCTCATTTGAACGCTGGGAAAAGGTTACGACTGATTTTGCCCTACTCTTGCATTCAGATCTTTACTCACAAAAACCTTCATAACTGCTCGCCCAGAAGCCCGCAGCAGATAGCAAAGGTAGACTTGAAATCAGCATCTTAAGCTCTACAAAACAATGCACATCTCATCTCAAAGGCCGCTTCGACCAACCTTCCTTCCCTTGTTAGTCTAGTCTCGCCTTTGAAAATCCTGAAAGCAAGTATTCTATCATGCATGACCCTGCGATGTAGTAGACTTTTGAGGCCTAGGACTTTCATTCGTTCATCATAGCTTGGAAGCGATCGTGGGTAACCACGACTGGGATAGCATCTATAGAAAAGCAAACGAGTGAAAACCTTCTGGACGTGAAAGGGCCCCGCCCTGTGGAAGTCCGCTAGTACAAGGAAAACGTCCAGAATGATCTCTTCCCACCCGAACCGTCATATATCTGGAGTGCAGATATGATTTTAGCCACTCAAGCAGGGGTCCTCTGATACCATAGTGCTCAAGCTTATATAACAGTTTACCATGACTTATACGGTCGAAAGCTTTCGACAAATCGAAGCATATAACGTCCACTTCCTTCTTATCGAGGTATGCCTTAATCCAGTCATGATTGCAATCTATTAGTTGGGTTACAGTGGATGCACCACTGACAAACCCATGTTGTTCAGCGGGAATGAGATTAAACCTCTCCAGCCATAAAAGAAGTTTGTCACGAATTATCTTTTCCAGAACTTTACATGGTACTGGATTTATACTTATAGGCCTGAATTCTCTTACAGATTGAGGTTTGGGAACTTTTGGAACTGCGGTGACAATTGCTTCTTTCCAAATGTCAGGTATTTCTCCACAAATAAAACTAATATTAAAGATATGTGACAAGGGGACAGAGAGCTCTCTGGCGCAACGTTTGAAGACAATCTGAGATATGCCATCAAAAGGTTCAAATGTAGATTGTTTCAAGGGTCTAAGAAAGTTTTCGACAGTAGAAGGCATGATCATAGGTGCTGAGCAGGTATGGTTCAGAGGTGCACCCAATCCTTTAGTGCGAGGAGTACTTGTGGAAAACGTATTTGCAAAAAACTCGGCTAATGCTGAAGCCTTGGACTGATTTGTTAGACAGGTATTGCCCAACGTATCCTTCAAGGCCCCGTGATATTGTGCGCGCTGTATATGATGGATATAAGAGAAGAGATTTTTTGAGTGAATAGACGAAGCCAGGTGTCTTTCGTGGTTGGCGAGGAATTTCTTGATGTGGAATATGACATCAGAGTAGACCTTACTGTACAATGGGCTATTATATTTAGCAGTTCTGAAAAGTCTTCCTTTTTGGAGCAGAAGCGACTGTATGTGACGCGGGTATCGTAAATAGCCAATTTTGTGCACACCAAATGGAGTATATTTAGCGAGCAGATTATACATAACACAGCAGAATCTGTAGTGTACATCAGAGGGGCCAATATACTGATTGAAGATCTCTTCCCAATTGAGAGTGTGAAGATCATTTTTCATTGCTTTGAAATCAATTTTACTGAAAATGGGAAATGGAATAAGTTCAATTTTCGGATTATGGAATTTATATAGGAATTCAGTGATAATGTGATCGGATGTGCAAACGGTGCCTTGACTGATAGCTTGTGTACTGAGTTAGTGGTTGATAGTACCCAATCCAAAATGGTATCATCGCGAGTGGGTACAATAACGAACTGCTTAAGGTCTAAATCACGAAAGAACTCAAGAAATCTCTGGACTTGTGGAAAAATGTGGGGTGGTGTGTCTCCAGAGCATCTCATAGGAAGATTGAAATCACCGGGAATAAGGATATTCGGGGTACAGTGGGTAGAAGCTAAGAGGAGATCAACAAGCACATCATCCGAATCAGAGGTGGAGCTGGGAGGTCGGTATAGGTTGTCCGCGCTGCGCGCGAAGAGCAACGCTGTTGCGTCCAGTGAAGATAGTTGAGCGCAGAGAAAAACAGGCGGCGAGAGTGCACGGGGAAAGAGGAGTGACGCGCAATACACACCTTGCGCACTCTCCGCGCCCTGCGCGGACGGCCTATAAACACATATGACACGGGTTTTGAAGAGAGTGCCAGGTTGGTATAGATCAACCAACTTTATCTCACAACTGCAGTTATTCTCAACCGCAATGCTTTCACATAATAGCGCTGATTTGATCAATATGCAAACTCCTCCTGCTGAAGGCTGAATTTTGAATGCTGAATTTTTCACTTGGGATCATAAATTAAGCTCAGAATCCGTACGCAGATACTATCTAGCTGGAACCTGCCAGGAGAACACATGCGGCAATATTTCTCCGAAGGAAAAAGTAAAGAAAATTCTGAAAATAGCTAATGAAAGTCCCGGCTACACATATTGTACACCTAGCTGCGGCTGATAATCTGCAAAGGTTGCTTTATGTGTCATCCAAGCTGTTTATTTTACAGGATTTTATGCCATTCCTATCAAGCGTCGAATGTATACTGTGTTCACCTGTCCCGGTTGGGAGGTTACCGTAGACGTAATGATAACTTTTCAGAAAACTTCCAAATCTGCGTCTACAACTGAGATTGCATCCTAGACAAACAGTACTTTGGAACCATCTCAAATTCACCCTTGCTAATACCCTCACTACGTAGCTACCGATATTGTCGTCTACTTTCATCTCTACTAAAGGAAAAACCTCAATTATCAGTCCAGCGTACAGAAGACAGCTGAATCCGCGAAGCGCCAAACAACTTCAGTGCCCCATTCGACGTAAAGCGCAAAAATTCAAATGCGTATTCACCAGCCGAGCTTGTACCTGCACTAATGGAAAAAGCCTCTTGTGTATGCAGCTCCGGAAATATAAAAAAAATCATGAAAAAATACCCCCTTCCACAAATATCAAAGGCATACGCAATAATCGCTCTTAATCGCAATATCTCTGCGAAGACAAATGTTGGGTCAGCACTGCAACTCTATGTTACCGCGAAAAACATTTCCGCGGTAACCTAGAAACTTTCTTTTCGTCAGACACAAACCACCTGTGAAGTGGATGTAGGTAATCTCTGTGGTATTATAACTGTATAGCCGGCGCTGAACTCGCACTATCGTGCAGAAGCAAAGAAGGAGACGCACTGGCAACCATTCTATGCCATAGTGAGTATCAAGTAGCTAAATGCACGGTGAATAGCTTTTTGAACAAGCTGAAGTTTCACTTCAACCATTCTGCGATCCACAGGAATTGCATTGTCAGCTGCCCTGGTGGAAAGACAGACATCAATGCCTATGGAAATCTATATTATATCAATGATAATCAAATCGAAGAAGATTTACCTGCCGAAGACAATCGTAGCGACCCTGCCAAGAATATCTCATACCTTAGCACATTGGCCATCACCTCATCAATCTCTCCAAGCGCATTTGTTCCCAAACTTATCATGCAGAATTTCTTGCTGGTAATTTTACCATAGTTATGCTTTTTACATTATGTTTCTTAAGTTCGCTGTATAGAAAGGTCCATGGTTTCGCTATCATTACAAGATGCACTGAAATTTCTTCCTTTTTCGCCTGGGGAGTGTTTGTAACGATACAAATGGTTATGCTAAACTCTTGTCGTCTATCTGCTTCCATATCGCTCAATGCTTGTAATGTATTCAGTGGAATTCTTTTGATGGTCTTGTGTTGTGCTGTTAGCTTCATGTTGAGATGCGATTCGCTGTAAGACAGCTTTGACGAGATAGTTCACAATGTTGAGAGAGTGTTCCCTATATAAGCATGCCTCGATCGTATTACTTCGCTTTTCGCTAATACTAATAAATCTGTGCTGGTCTCGTGCTCGCCGAACAGAATAAACGTTTCAAAAGACCCGGTTTTGAGTCATTTACCGTTACACCACATGTGAGCTCTATTCCGCTCAAATACACAGAATCATCTTTCATCTATTTTAACCATACAAATCATGTGGCCTTGACTCTGAGTAGACGACTTTTCATTCAGAGCCTTGATTGAATTTTTTCAGATGCAGCTTCTGGTCCTCTCTATACTATTTTGGTTATGTGCCATAGCGTTCCAAGCGGTACCACCGCCACCACCTCCTCCACCTCCACCTCCACCGCCTCCTCCTCCTCCACCGCGACACCCTTCCCCTCCACCTCGACATCCACCTCCACCTCCATCACCGCCGCTGCCACGTCATCGACGCTACTAGAAAAACTTGATTAAACATATATTCAAAGTTGTGTCTGGAAGTTTACTTACTTATTTATTTATGTAAACATACATGGTGATCCAGAATTGAAAACAACAAACGTAATGTAACGTGATATGCGTGGATGGTCGAAACAAAATAAACACTTCATAATTCTTCAGGTCGTTCTTCCCCTTCGAATGATGAGAGGTACCTTTGCCGAGTTTCTGTTCCCGTTCCCGAACGCAACATCATGGCAATTTACCAGGGCTTGGCTGGCCAACCTAACCTGGGGCGCAGGCGAATTCGCTAGGGACCCTGGGCGAGCGAGAGGGCAGGGCTGATCTCAAGATAAAGGGCTCATCCGTAGTCGATATCTTAGGGCCGCATGCACTAACATCCGCGTGGAGGGGATCGCAGCTTAAAAGAAAGCTTTATATTTCGAAACTTCAGATACCTGCATTTCACGTTGTGTACCTATCCGTAAATATTCCTACTACCCTTCACTATGAACATGTTGAAGAGGAGCGAGAAGCTGTACGAACCGCATTTTCCAGCTTTTGTATGATCCCTGATAATCCCCGGCGCTTTTCTTTAAAGTTATTTTTCTTTCTCCGAAGTTAAGGAAAACTTTCCAAAGCTGTACTGAACATCTAACACAACAGTGCTAAGCATGTTTGTGATAAGAACAAATGATGTTTTGAAGTCATGAAATTTGCGATGATCCATAGGCCGAAATTTGAGGCTTATCGAAAATTCGACTTTTCAAAAACTCATTTGTTCTCATCAGCAACATGCTTAGCACTGTTGTGTTGGATGTTCAGTACCACTTTGGAAGGTTTTCGTTAACTTCGGAGAAAGAAAAATGACTTTAAAGAAAAGCGCCGGGGATCATCAGGGATCATACAAAAGCTGAAAAATGCGGTTCGTACAACTTCTCGCTCCTGTTCAACATGTTCATAGTGAAGGGTAGTAGGAATACTTACGGATAGGTGCACAACGTGAAATCCAGGTAATTGGAGTTTCGAAATATAAAGCTTCCTTTTAAGGAAGCTTTATATTTCGAAACTTCCTTTTAAGCTGCGATCCCCTCCCCAGCGGGGAGGTTAGTGCATGCGGCCCTTAAAATACGAAGAAGCGATCTAAATTCTGTCGGAAATGGGTGCAACGGGCATTGAATAAAGGAGATTCTTTGCGTGCAAGGTCTCGAGCAAAATATGCAAACATTCTAAAACTCTGTAGTGAACAGTCAAAAATTGTTGAGGCAGTTCTAAAAAATCACTACAAAAATCGCCGAAATTTGGGAAAGGCGGGAGTTTGGAGAAGATGCGCCGCCAATGATGAAAGAGGCAACGTAATCATCACACATCGAAAGTGCTCAGAATTTCAACAATGTTGACAATGTTTGACCTTCTGCGAATTCCTAGAGAGCTTTGAAAAAGAGTTGTCTCTCGGTGATAGACTTGAACATCTAGCATGCGATCAACGAAAGAGAATGCAGAATAGAAAAAGTCTGGTTTCCCAGTTTAAGATATCTCAAAGCGAACCTTACCGTTCGACTGTGACGTGTCATAAAGACAGTACCTACTGTGTATGGTCTTCGCATTGAAATTCGACTGGATAGTGTATAGAAAGCTTTCATTTTGCATAGATTTGTTTACTATGAGCTTATGCGAACAGCTGAAGTCTTCTTAAAGGGAGTGCCTCGAGAATTTCGTTTTCCCTCGCCATGAGGAATCCATACATGGGGTTTTCAGCAGATGAAAATGGCGAAAATGAGCTTTTTCCGGAGCTTTTCAGGTCCGCATTCAGTGGAGAATACGTGTTGCGGGCGCGGAAGGCTTCAAGCATATCTCACTGAATGCGAACCTTCAAGGCTTTGGAAAAAGCTCATTTCCGCTTTTTTTCATGCTCTGAAAAGCCCAAATATGGATTCCTCAAGCCGAAACGGCTCCTAAAAGTTGACTGAAAAAGCCTGCCGAGACACTGCCTTTAAGATGTTGCTAGTTGTAAAAGAAAAGAATTCTGATTCGATCTGACGATTTGGCGTGAAATACACTTGACTAACATTTGTTTGTTTGAAGAAGTTCCTAGCGTTTGTACGTGTGAAGTTATTGTTCTGAATTTGGGAGGGTGGCGTAAATGGCAAATAAGTACACAGGATAATCGGAAAGGTGGGCGTTATCTGATTAGGTTGGGAACTATGTTGTAGAGCTTCTTTCATAACTTCACTCTCTTTGGATGTAGCGGACTCTAACTTTGGCACTAAGTAGAAAGTAATATGTACTATAGATGCGTAATTTTTGTATTCTGCATGCAAGAAAAAAGTTCAGTTATTTCAGTTAGTAGTTTTGAGGATTTTGAAATTGTAAGCCAAGATGAAGCCGTTGACATGCTAGACCATGTCCAGTAGCCTAAAAATGTGTATGAATTGTTGGTAGAGGCACTCATCTGGATTATTGAAGAAATAGGTAGTTTGATGGCAAGTCGAGATTTGGCACCTCGCAAAGTCAAACGAGTCGCTGTATGCAAGAATGCTGAAACAACCATCAATGATTAGAGATTCGGAACCTCAAAATTCTCTTTGCATATTGGCGTATCTGACCTGCCAAACACAAATATCAAATTCATTTGTTAAATCGACGCCTCTTTTTTTGATTGGTGTGAGGCGATATGCCGTACTACAGGATCTTACATAAAAGCCTTTATCAAGCAAATTTAGTAGCTTTTGTGATCAGCTATTGGATAACTCCTCTATGCCAAGTTTCAACCAGATTTGTGAAATGGCATAATTTCTCCTTTTTCTCCTTTTTCCATACACCCATCGTAACCATAGGTGCGATAAGGTGAGAATGACTCTTTCAGGGTAAAGGGGGCCGCAGTAGTCACAGCCCCTTTAGTTTAAAGGGTGTTTCAAGTAGTTTAGAAAGTACAAAACGTCGACCGATGGGGGGGGGGGAATAAGTTCTGGATAAGGGTCACGGGGAGGGGTAGGGGAGTGCGTGTGATTGTAAATGGTTTGCATATGGGAGCGGAATTATTTTGAGTTTGAAAGTGGAGTTATTTTGAGCCTGCCCATAACGCGCGGCAACGAATGGCATTCTTAACCTTAACTTTTCAACAAAACTAGCATGTATATACGATTCTTTCCATGCAGAGACAGGACGCCGTCGATGGCGCTACCATATCTCTGATCAAGCGTCCTTTATCCCTCTTACCGTCTGTCTCCCTCCAAACCCGAACTATCATAGTCGGACGCAACTACGTCCAGCCTCTGCTGAATCGACTGTACATTTCGTTTTTCATGATTAGGAAGGTATCTGCAGCGTGCCTGCCTAAATTATTTGAAAACTGCTACTGCTCAAAAAAAGTTGAAAAAGAGAAAGAAATTGTATGAACACGTGTGTGGCTTGGCACATCGTCATCTACCTGGAAAGCTCGCCACAGCTGTTAACCTACTTGTCTGCTCTAGACCAACCTTCGTCAAAGAACTGTGGCTGTCATTCCTCCATTTACGTCCAAGGACGAGTCTTTGAACATTTTTTGAACGCTAAACGAATTTTCAAGTTGCTTTTTGCGGGCTTAGTCCTTGAAAGTGGATACTGTTCAGCTCTTGTGTACTTGCATACCAATATGCAAAGCAAATCAAGCTTAGTTAGTTTACATTCTTGTCTCAAAATTCAAGGAAATCACTGGAATCACTATGATGACTACTGACCATCGTGAACTATGAGAATTTGGTACATTTCCGTAATCCGGACCCATTAAAAAAAAGGATATCGTTTCTATCCTTGTACCGTATTTGTTCGCAGCTTCACGAGAAGGAGTCAAGCTTCTGCCACGTGTCAAAGAAATTTGACTTGTCTTTTAAATGTTTAACAGGTTTAATCAAGGTTTGGTTGCCCTACCTAGCGACATAAGTTCAATTTATTTTTAGTCATTTTTGACTTCATTTCGATCAAATCAGTATCTAAGTGGAATTGTCATAATAATAACGACATACTACGATTGGTGAACTGATTGGACTTGCTTAGAATAGAGAAGTGCGCTAGGATTTTGTCATTTAAGAGGCGAAATAAGCAGCAGCAAGGAACTTCAAGCTATCATTTATAGTTTTCTCTGGCTAATAGCGAAAAGAGAGAGATGTTTTTGCACTGCTAAAAGCAAACAAGATGTTCTAAAATAAGTTCATCATTGTTTTGCCCTTGTTGAAACAAATGAACAGCTTTAAGGTAATCACAAATTCTCTTTTTTCACCGGAAATGATTCCAAAAAAACATGTCAAGTGGAGCAAAACGTGTCAATTTTTTGTGACACGTGGCAAGGAGGTAATCCTCATAGAATTCATGAAAAATTTCTTAGACTAAAGAACGTATCATATAAAGTGTTCTGAATAAACGGGTCCGGATAACGGAAAAGTATCGAGAATTTTATACATGAAGAAAATGTAATTCATGTGAAACTTGTCTGAAACGTGTGCCGACAGCTATCAGGAAGTATCAATGATAAAGCACGAAGGAAAAGTTGAAGCCTCTGCCTAGAGATCTCTGAATTCAAAAGTAGTATACATATAAGTGACCATTTTTCTTGGTTCTGCTCATATGTAATCCATAAGAAGGAATTGGTACGATGGCAGCAAGACTGGAGCCTTCTCGCATTTATCTTTGACTTTAACGTCCATGGCGCGGCCGAGGATAGAATAAATGACGGCAGGAAACTGGTTGTTTGCTACGACAACTTTGAATTTGCTGAAGAATACTGGATACTTGATAAGACTGAAATTTTGTTTATTCCGGAAGTTACACTGAAAGAAAAGCAAGATGAAAAGAAGCGTCTTGTTCTTTTGATCGCAAAATTATATAAATTGTATAAGAACCAAAATTACATTTGAAAGAGAGCATCAATACTTTCAAAAATTAAAAAGAAACTAAAGTGGTGATCAAAGTAAGATCAGATCTACGTCTGCCCTGTTTCTAGAAATAGATAGAAGATATTTGAACGAGTGAAAAAAAGGAAGAAGA